ATCAAGTGGTTAACTGGTTAAAGTTTTCACATCTAGTGGTTAGCTGGTTAAAATGATCACTTCTGTGGTTAGCTGGTTAAAGTTTTCACATCAAGTGGTTAGCTGGTTAAAGTTTTCACATCAAGTGGTTAACTGGTTAAAGTTTTCACATCTAGTGGTTAGCTGGTTAAAATGATCACTTCTAGCTGGTTAAAGTTTTCACATCAAGTGGTTAGCTGGTTAAAGTTTTCACATCAAGTGGTTAGCTGGTTAAAATGATCACTTCTAGCTGGTTAAAGTTTCACATCAAGTGGTTAGCTGGTTAAAGTTTCACATCTAGTGGTTAGCTGGTTAAAATGATCGCTTCTGTGGTTAGCTGGTTAAAGTTTTCACATCAAGTGGTTAGCTGGTTAAAGTTTTCACATCAAGTGGTTAGCTGGTTAAAGTTTTCACATCAAGTGGTTAGCTGGTTAAAGTTTTCACATCAAGTGGTTAGCTGGTTAAAATGATCACTTCTAGCTGGTTAAAGTTTCACATCAAGTGGTTAGCTGGTTAAAGTTTCACATCTAGTGGTTAGCTGGTTAAAATGATCGCTTCTGTGGTTAGCTGGTTAAAGTTTTCACATCAAGTGGTTAGCTGGTTAAAGTTTTCACATCAAGTGGTTAGCTGGTTAAAGTTTTCACATCAAGTGGTTAGCTGGTTAAAGTTTTCACATCAAGTGGTTAGCTGGTTAAAGTTTTTACAACTAAAGTATGGCCGTGGTTAGACTGTTTTCTGCTAGTTTTTAAAAGATTTTCGAGTTTTTGTTTTTAAATAAAAAGACTTGTCTTTGCGACCTTTCTGCTTTTAATATTAAAATATTCTCTTCCGTAATTTCATAAAGGTCTCAATTTAAATATTTATATCAATGTTCACTTTTAATTTTAGATGTGTTCATTCATTGGGTACTATGTTGTTGACTAATTGACTCCAGTGTTTCTTCCAGACTTTTTTCTCCGGGGGGGGGGGGGGCACTTGAAATTTTCGGGGGCGGTAGACTTTCTTCGGGGGGGGGGGGCGAACACTGTTAAAAGTATATATTTTCTATAGAAATAATATAAATTTCATTTCGTTCGGGGGGCGGTAGAATTTTTTCGGGGGGGGGGGGGGGGCAAAGGCCCCCCCCCCCCCTTCGTAGAGATGCCTGGAAGAAATTCTGATTGACTCACGTAGGCCTACTTTGATACGACTGTTAATTGTTGGTTATAAATATAAACAATAGGTTGTGTTATTTTTCAAATGTAATGTGCTATTACATATCTTTCTTCATATTTTAATGGAAAAAAACTGGCTACCCAATAGTTGAATAGACAGTATCGCTGTATCGTAAATTAACCTCAATGACACTTGTCTTGTATACCTAAACCAGATTTCCCGTCTCAAATGATGTGTACCTAGCAGCACAGACAGAAAGTAGACAAATTATTCTTGTTTACAACATGTCGCAATCACAGCCGTACTTTCAATACCTTGCTGTCATGGTCAATATTTTCTAATCCGCTAAACACTTGAGCTTGGTGATCGATTTATTAGGGTAAAAAAATATATTGCGTAAATTGGGTATTGTAATTTACGATTTGGTGGTTGTAATCGAAAGTTGTTGGTAGGAGGAGAGGGGGAATTTCCCCCCCCCCCCCTCCCATACCCACCCATAAAACAACAGCCGTCTTAAACTCTTGTCGCTTTAATTTCAAGCACGGCCATCCCAAACCTCAATCATTCGTGGTGATGTGTGCTGGCTATCACAACCCTCAATCATTCGAGTTCATATGCTACACCATCCCTCCATAATATATAGAGGTCGAGTTCATGTTACTTGACCTCGGCATATGAAGGAAGGTGTCGAAGTAAAATTCCCTTATGAACCTGACGGTCCTTGGGGAAGTGAAGTAGAGTTCACCTCGGCATGTGAAGGCATAGTGTGGTCAGCAACGCCCAGCCGCTTTTATTATCCCTAACGTGAGTCAGGTACTCATCAGAGCTGGGAGGACTCAGTGAGTCAGGTACCCGTCAGAGCTGGGTGGACAGTGAGTCAGGTAACCATCAGAGCTGCGTTGACGCAGTCGTATGCTTCACCATTCGACCACGCCGTCCCACCTGGTTTTGTATCGATGTGTTGAATCTGGAGAATTCTTTTATCCTATTAATTAGAGTAGGAATCGATCAAATATCTTGTGTAGGGGGGGGGGGGGGCGTGCGTGTGTGTGTTATTAGTGCGCTGAGAGTATCCAGATTTTGAAACAGTTGTATCAGTAATTGTGACGGTATCGACATCATCAATGAGCTCAGCCAACAGTTTTACCGTTCAAATAACCGGTTCAAACATACTTCACGCTCCCTCGATTATTTTTTCCTATCGATTAAACATTACTATTTGTATAAAGGTTAGTGCCTGCTGTCTAAAGAGAAAAGCCGCGTCGAATCCCTCGTAGCTCAAATTTCAAAATCCACAGGTCGCTGACAAATATATTTAACTTAACAGATCATTCACCCCCCCCCCCCTCTCCCCCCCCCCCCCCCCCCGCACACACACACACACTGTTAAAAACACATCATAAAAAATACTATTGATTTTATTATCAATTAAATCTGTTGGTTTGAAAATTATGAAGACATCACTTTTACATACGTCGATACAAAATCATTCAGCGTTGTCGGCTGTATGCGTTGGCGTGTCTAGGACTTTGTTAAGGGAGATGTATATATATATATATATATATATATATATATATATATATATATATATATATATATATATATATATATATATATATATATATTGTTGTTTAATTTCCCTACATATACACACATTATATATATATATATATATATATATATATATATATATATATATATATATATATATATATATATATATATATATATATATATATATATATATATGCGCGTGCGTGTGTGTGTGCGTGTGTGTGTGTGGTTGTGTGTGTGTGTGTGTCTCGCTTGCCAAGACTGTGACTGGCTTTTTTTAAACGGACAGTTTGTAGTTGACCCTGTGTTCTAGTTGCTGCTAATAAAAGAATAAGTAGGCGACAGCAAATGAGACACCTCACATACTAAAGGTTAAAACGGTGACCCCAGGACAGAGAACGATTTAGAAAGAAATAAACAATCAAGCCATAAAAAATCTCCGGGTCTGACCTATCCTTGAATCCCACTGGATTCTCCCTTCATATGGTAGACATGTTTTTTTAATAGCTATGTAACATTCTGATTCATTAGGTTGTGTGTGTCCACGGGGGGGGGGGGGGGGGATTCTGAACCCCCACCCCTTGTGTGTAAATGTGTATTGTTCATAGCATTGACATTGTTTTAAACTCTGGCAGCGTTAAAGTAGTTAAGTGGTTAAATGGTTAAATAGACGTACTGTGCCATTGTCACAGCCTTAGGTCGCCGGCTAACAGCTCTAGGGCAACAGTGTTGTAGTGAGGCAGCCCACAGAAATCAATGGAACACAACAGTTGTGTAGATAATGGACCAGCACGCCGCAGTGCCTGCACGCTGATTAGAGGGGAACTTTAAATGGTGGCTTTTAACTTAACACCGCAGCTGGGGAGGGGGGGGGAGGCTTACACTACAGTTACAGCTCCGATAATTAGGCACACAAAAACAAAAGCATTTAAAAAATATCTTACCAACTAGATCTATGTATGAGAGAATAAACAGATGATATCACCTAGTATAATGTGATGGAAATAACTTTATAAGAATAATCAATACAATTAAAACTGCTGATAACAGCCATGCTGATATGGGTTGGAATTATTTTTTAAAGGGGGGCGGGTGCTTTAGGACGTCATATTTTAAGGTGTGTCCTACTTCTTATCGATAACAGGAGGGGGGTGTTAATATGATCAAAAATATCTTGACGTCGCTGTTAGACAACCACTATAAATGATAATCATATTAGGCGAAGTTGAAACTTTACAATTCTATTATAGTGTTAGGTGGGTGTTAGGCTCGACACAAAATATTAGTCCAAAGGCCTACAAATATGTCCATTGTAATGGGTCGTACATCCATGAACTACGTCAAACTCCTAGGGGAGGGGGTTCAGAATTTTTCAACAATCTGTGACAGGGGGGGGGGGGGCAAAAACGTGTGACGCACGACACACTTTCAATTTTAAAAAGTAATTTTAAAAACTGAATTGTTTTTTTTTTTTTAAAGAACGCTGTTGTAATTTTGCAATAGAAATCGATTAACATAATCAATGATGACCAAACTCAGTAGGCCTAAATATTTTATAAAGGAATCGATGTTTTTTAAAATACCTTCGATTTTGAGTTGGGGGGGGGGGGTATTGTATGCTGAGGTGTGACGTCTGAGGAGAGGGGGTCTGCCTGTTTTTAAAAATGAGGAGAGGGGAGGTAAAAGTCATCGTTAGCCTGTGTGTTAGGCTGTGACGTCGTTAGTTCAACCCCGCTGCACCATTAGGTAATTGATCAGACTGCTGGACACGGTGAGTTGGCATTGATGATAGACTAGGCGCCCACCTGTGGAGGGAGACTGAATTTTAAAGAGGACAGAAGCAACAAATAAATTAGTAAACATCAAACATTGAAAAGCTGAACAAGTGAGCGTGAAATGATGGGTGGAGTCCTGTGTCCCCATGACACTTAGAAACGCAAAGCACATTATATTAAGAAGAGCAAAGTAGGCTTATGTCTATATGCCATATAGGCCTACCGCTGAGTTTTTCAAAATCCAAATTTTCTCATTCAAGCTTACACTATACATTAATCTAAACTAAATAGAAAGTATGGCTAAGAAAAATGTGGACTTGTAATGTTAGGTTATAATTATAATGGTATCTTTGTATGCGTTGCATATAGAATCTATACTATAGATTCTATACTATAGGTTATAATTAATGATTATAAACAGCCTGCGCGTGTTATTTCCCTTTGTAAAACATAAGGCAAATAAAAAGCTAGACTTTAACTTAACGAAAGAATGATTATGGCAATTTTTATGAACACAAAATCAAATTCTAGATCTAAATCTAGATGTAGACTTCTAGATTTCTAGATCTATCTGAATCTAGACTAGCAGCTCGTGAGATCTTCCAGATCTAGAATCTAGTAGTAGATTCTAATAAATCTAGATCTAGTAGACGACATTTACAGATTGTAGTCTATTCTTGCACTGGTTTTTTTTTTCTTTACCCAAGTCATAACTTACGTAACCAGTACGAGTACGCACTCATTCAATTCATTCATAACATAAATAATATTAATATTAAATAATTCTGAAAAGATAGATTTATTAGTTAGTTCGTATGATTGTCATCATAGTTCATCATAGGAATATCATTGATCATCATACTCATAGATCTAGATATTTAGGGCCTAAGATCTAGATCTAGAATCTAGTAGATCTACAACTAAATTTTACCAAATTAAAAAAAAAATATTAATGATTTATTTTATTTAATCTAAATCTACTAGATTTCTAGATCTAGAGTAAATTGATCTAATTATTTAGGCCTATATTCATGTTTCTTCTATAGGGGCCTAATTATAATAATACTAATAGAGATCTAGTTTATATTAAATATTTTTTAGTATTGATCTAATATTCTAATTCTAGTTAGTACCACTTGACTTGGTACTTGAATAGTATACTAAATAGACATTAGAATCTAGGGGTCATCCTTAATAAATTCTCTAATAATTAAAATCATTTAATTTATATAGGCTACTAGGCCCTATATAATTGTCTAATGACCAATGTAACGAATAGAGGAATAGACAACTGTATCAATGTATTTTCTTGATGTCAGCATTAAATATAAATCTAACTTTAACTTTAGTCTCTAGCTTTGCTGGTGAAATTTTTTATCTAATGGAAAAATCATTAAATCAATAGTCATTTACTGATACTAGCATTTACTTCACCGGGTCAACAAGAGGGCGCTCATGGATGTCCACACTCACATCAAATTACTCTCATTACATTAACTTCTATTCTGCTTTGTAGTCCACAACATTGAACTTAGTATGTAGAAATTTAGTTGGTCTGCTAGCAGCACCAGTGGTATGTCTGTAGTGAACGTTAGTCCTTGTAATTATATGTAGGCTAAAATATAGATATATCTATACCAACATTTTTTTAAAATAGTATATAAAATGCTATTAAGCTGTAGCAAAAAAAATAGTTTAAGTGGCTGACAGTTCATAAAGTAGGCCTACCAAAGTGGTACAATTAAAGCTAAGGTAGAAATGATTAATTTAGCTTGAAACTTTGTATCACTGTTAGTTATTGATCTACCTCATCTGCATCATTATCTCAACCCAAATCCTAACTTTAGCATAATTTAAAATTTAAAACCTAATATAAAAAAAAGAATAGTAGGCCTATTTTGTTTGCTCTAAAAATATTTGTGTTACAGGTTGATGATAATCGCCCATTGATTAAGAAGCAAAGGATCTAAAATAACTTCTGGCATACATCATTAAATAATAAAAACAAGTCTATTGCAACTATGACATCCGACAAGAAACGGATACTGATTATGGGATGTGGGGCTGCTGGAATGGCAGCTGCCTATGCATTAGGACAACACCCAGAAAAGTTTGAAGTCAATATTTGGGATAAGAATTCTCTGGCTGGTGGTGTAGCAACTTCAGAACATATTGATGGTAAGTCACACTTTTCTTCACCTTGATGTTAAATTATATTTGGTTTATATTGCCTTAACAGAAATACATTTGACTGATTAGTTGTGGAGATAGAATAATTGCTCAGTAAATTAGTACTTTACTAAGTCTAAATCAATATAACAAGATGTTGTTCGATCAATAGTAATTTAAGCAGGATATTAACTAATTGTCTGATTATTTCTACCAAATGAATGTATTGTCGCTCATTTAGTAATTCTCATTTGGGTTGAACAGGAAAGCACTCATTATTTTGCCTTTTGAACTCGTAGTTTGATGTGATATGTTTAGTCATGTATTATTTGAAAGAAAGTCCATCTATTAAGATTTTTAACTTGTTTTTATTACATAAAAAATATAGAAAAAAAATAGAATAAGAGAATAATCGTGACTACTAAATTTGTAACCTACATTTTTTTCTTTACTGTCACTTTATTTATCTTTTATGTTAATTTAAGCTGTTCTGGAATACCAAATCCATCAATTTACTAAAACAGTTTGATGATTTGTATTTAAGAAAAGTGTTGTATATTTCAGGACCAGGTGAGCTAATGATAAATGACGGAGTTCAGGGAGGATGTCCAACATACAGAAATACACTGAGTCTGATGGCAGAGTTTGGATTCTCTGGGACCCCAGTCAAAATGATGATATCGTTTGGTAAAGGCCCTACAGCTTGGACAAACTACACTAAAACAGAACTGACAGACAAGCTTAAATTGGAAATTAAACGGTTTGGTGAAACCTTAAGGTTGATTAACAAATTGGAATTTTTTTTTATATTTGTCCCAATTAAGCAGGTGCTCAAATGGTTTGGCTACTCTCAGACCTTTTGCCATGAGATGGTCTATCCCCTAACTGCTCTGTTTTTTGGTACAGGAAACCAAACACCCAATGTTTCAGCTGCTATAGTAGCCAGAGTTTTTCTAGATGATGACCTGCGCCTCTTTGATTACGACTCTGAAAGTATGTTGAGCCAGAGCCCTGAGATGTTTGCTTTTCCCCTCCTGAAGGACATGTACCAAACAATTATAGGCAAGTTATCAGCCACTTTTCATAGCAACCGTCCAGTAGCGTCAGTCACCAGGAGAAATGGGAAAGTGTATGCTGTTGATGCTAATGGTGTTGAGGAAGTATTTGATGAGATTATTTTTGCCTGTGATGCTGAAACTGTGTTGAAAGTTTTAAAAGAACCAACATATATGGAAAAGAAGGCATTAAAAAATGTCCGCTACTACAACGATGTAACTATAACCCATGAGGATGATGAATATATGGAGAAATATTATGAGCTGCATAAAGACATTGATCAATACTTTATTCGAACAGACCCAAATGATCCATCCAAGCTGGAAATGTCATTCAATCTATCTAATTATCAACCCCACCTCAAAGTATCAAGCAGAAATATTTATCAGACCATATTTTTAGATGACACCACCAAACAAATTTGGACCATTGATGACATTGATAAAGGTAAGATCAGATTCACTCGCTGGTGGAGGCAGTTCTCCCACACCTGGCAACACTTTGCCTTCACTGTGCCGTTCATGCGTTACCTCCAAGGTAAAAACCACACCTGGTACTGTGGCTCCTACACTCTCATCAACACCCACGAGATTGCTGTCATATCCGGCTTTGCTACAGCTTTTCGTCTTGGTGCCAAATATCCATTCCCAAAAGATAAACTGGCTAAAAAACAGTTTGATCAATACCTTCTGGTGATTCATGGGAAGCCAAGCAAGTTGGGATTCAATATGGCTACTGTCAAGTCTATTGCTCTAGCACCTGTGATGGTTATTTTTGCTGGCTTGGCTCTGTTTATACAGTTCATTCTTAAATGTTTTAATTAATTGTAAACCTATTTAAAAAATTATCGTTGGATTTACAAACACTATATTGTTAAACTTTTGTAACTTTTAGATTTCCTTACACTTTAAACTTCTTTTGTTGTTTACTTATTTACTTGTATTCAACAAGAAGCAAACAAATAACAAAATGTATGTATAGTACTAAGTTTGCTTTTGTTAATTTTTTTAATGATTTCTGTGAACATTTTCTCAGCCTTACCATTTTTTGTCCTCAAAATTTATTTGATGAGTGTTCAAGTTTTACCACAAGTGTGAGGCAGCAGCTATTTGTAAGTCTCAACTAAAGTGCTTTTTTTCATTTTACAAATGACATGCAAATGGCATCAGGGTTCTCTCACTAGCTATCAAAATAATTGATAAAGGAGAGAACCTGAAGCGCTGTATTTTTTGTTAAACATTTATCTTTATCTAACACAGTGTATGAAAATCTATACATTTCATGTTGTGGCTTTGATATTAATATTGTACTCTATGATTATTTCAGTTTAATACTCCAGTATCGGTCATGTATTATACAAGTATGAGCTACTTTCACTTAGATCTCAGTTTGTTTTGTATTAAAAATTGCCTTCAAAATGTTTTGCATTTATCTGAAGGGGAATGTACACTTGTTCTATTGAATATTGTATGTGCTTGTAAATTTTACCTTTGTGATTATGTACATTTTTCATGATGACATTAATGGCTAGAGCTTGTATCACCTGTGTGAAGTACCTGTAACAAAAGGACTATCAACACTTGAATTCAGTTAAACTTGATAGGACATTTTATTAAAGAAAACCAAGCACATGAGATAAAACAAGCATTTTTTTTTAATTACCAGCATTATTAATATTGTCAAGAATACCATAGTTTTACAATGAAAAGTTTGATTCAAGAATATTTGACACAAACTATCAAGTAATATGAAAATCCTATTTTTTCACCCTCCGCAACTTATTTAGATTTTATTTTAAAATATTTATCATCAACTATCCAGTCTTCTTTTTCTCTCTTGACCTCTTAGCATCTTCAAAGGCTTGAATTGAAAGTTCTAGCTCAGGTTTTTGTTTAGCATCTGTTGTTATGTAAGCCTAAAAGATAAAATGTGTAATAATCTACAATGATGTTGAACAACATTCCATATAAAAGCATAAATAGTAATAAATCTTTTTAGATCAATTTAAAATTGATAAGTAAAGTGTTTTGAACCAATGATCAATTTGTTGTTTTTTTTAATGAAGAACAAAGCTGTCATGAAGAGAGATGGAACTGGAGTGGATGTGAGCAAGACACTACATGATTATAATTTGGAAAAGAAAGAACAATAAACAGCTCTTGTGTTCATTAATGCTGCAATTAGCTACCTTTTCTTAAGTGCTGGGTGGTCATTTGTCAGTATATTGACAAGCACAAAATGAAAGAAATTTACCTTTGTAAACACCAACTATAATTACAGAACCACTAAACTAAAGAGAAAAAAACTTTGAAACAACAGAAACATCATAAAGGGGAAATAATTAAACTCTGCAGCAAAATAAAAAATAATTTTGATACTATTTTTAAAATATTCCCACCTTTATGATCTGTTCTGGTTGTGCATCCTTTAATTCTTTTATAACTTGTGAGCAACTGCTTGATGGGTGTATTATACAGTACAGAGTGACAAGATCCTTAGCATCTGATAGCCTAAGAAAGGAAATAACAGTAAGCAAATTTACTGGCACAAAGTTCAAGGGTTTTAAACTAATGCTAATTAAAAAACAACTTACAAATCTCGATTGATCATGTCCAATAATAAGTTATCAATCATTTTATTCCAAGTTAAATAAAATGCTATGGAACCAAAATGTCTTGTTGACCGGAGCACATCAAAGTCCTTTTTGGAATTGATTGCATTATATACACGATGAGTAGTCTGAAATGTATCAAATAGTTCAAATAAATCAAATCAGGCAGTAAAGTCATGGGATACTACTGAGCTAAATTTGCATTGTGAATTCGCAACATAATTTTTAATAAAGTAATGTGGTTATGCTTATGACTAAAACAATAAGGATGACTATTCTATTGTATGTTAATTTTTTTCTTAAAGACAAATAATTGTCATTATTATAATCCATTCCAAAACAATTTGTTCACATAAAGTGGTAGAATTGACATAAGTGGCCTTAGATTCAGGTCCATTTTGATGTCCACAGTCTCAATTTAACATCCGTATATTTATAGGTTTTAACAAATTAAAAAATTCATTTCTGCATACAAAATGCATGCATTTAAACAGGTGTAATTAATAAGCTGTGACTTCATCTCCACATTGTAGCCTGAACTAATGTTTTTATAAACTATGACAAAGTCTCTTACTCTGATAAAATCTGGATCATCAGGTTCAAATTGGCAACAAGCTCTGTCTAGGATGTAAACATACTTTCCATCAGCAATCAATTTCTGGAGATTAAAAGCACATTTTAGGTTGACACAGCCTCAAGAAAATTATGTTATTTGTTTAATAAGTTGAATGAAAAAGTTTAAAAAAATGTCAATAAGATAAAGAATATGTATTGCACAAAGATCTATGTATATATTTTTTCTTAATCTTATGAATTCTAAAGCATATTTTTTTTCTAAATGTCTAAAACTATTGAAACAGGCTTCACCTCTAAAATTTGTTCTTCAAACATCTTAGGTTTAAAATACTGCTTCCCTTCTTTAGGATTAAAAATCTGATTCATTCTTTCTTTCACATCCCATGAAGCTTCTTTTAATGTTCCTTGGGGATCCCTTATCACAACTGAGCGTTTCTGAAGTAAACAAAAAATGTCATAGCTCAAATTACTGAACAATATTTTAAATTAAAATAAATCCAGACATTACACATGGCAATGTTGTTTACAGTGTTCGTTCATTTTATTACATAAGTAAACAACTTATGAGAATGCTTAAAGAAGATAAAATTTGATCAAATTAAGATTTCAAATATATTAAAAAATCAAAAAATGACTTAAGTTTGACTTGATAAAATGTATGCATAAAGTGTATTGATAAGATATTAAAATTCTCTAGATTTTTTAAATGTACATACACGGTCATGTAATCCAAAAGAGACATCTACAAATACATAGTCTGATTTATCAAAGCCAGCCAAATCAGGATCAGTTATCAGAGGGGTGAGCTTTGGCTTACGTGGATTCATGTATGGAGGTATTTGGAGCCTTGCTTGTAACCTTTCGTTTGCCTTTTTAATATCCTAGAAGAAATAATCAATGAGTCAGTTTTAAGGTTAAAATTTTTAAATTCTATTTTAAAATTCCTTAAAAGAAATGTCTGTTATCTGCATTGTTAAAAACTAAAGATTGTGTATGATTGTAATATTTTTGGAAATTCTTGACATTTAAAAAAAAGAAAACTTAAGTTTTACTGATAAAATATTGCTAAGGGTTTGCAATGCTTCATAATGTTTTAACAAATACCTGCTCTAGTTCTTCATCTGTCAGTAATTTGTATGTTGGTCTTTTTAACTTTCTTTTCTGAGGTCCAGCCACTTTTAAGGGGTCAAATCCTGTAACTCTATGTAATAACTGCTGCACATTTTGATCCAAAAAAATTGGAAAGGGATCTCTCTCCACAGCTGGAATGGAAATTAAATATAATTGCAATACTGATCTTATAACTTATGATGTCATTTTGTGTCAGTAATAACAAATTCATATTCATTTTATGTTAACCCAAAAAACAGGAAAACTATTTCCTTAACTTAGATTTTACTGATATAATACTAATTTAAATTAGGCCTATCTAACTGCATATTGGAAGTTGTAATCTGTGATTTTGGGTAAAGTGATTAAATTAATAATGACACACATTTAGTGGGGGCTTTTTGTGTTATAGATCTGCTCAAATAAGATGGATGACATAAATGTCATTAATTAGCAAGAAGATGATGTAGTTTTTTTTAAATAATTACAAAAGAAGCCTTTAGTGCAGAAAGCTCTAGAGAGACAGGATTGATGATCATCTGGTGATCCACAAAATGGGAGCTAGCAGGTAAGTTACTTCAGAAAGGTTTTTAGGGAAGCTACCATCAAGCAAGATCAATTTGTGTCATTATTGATACTGAGGAGATGAGACATAGACTGAATTTCCTGTACATTCCCTAATTCTGGTTCATGCAGATGGCGACCTCATTTTTGAGTTAAATGTGAGTTATTGATTTTAATATTTTAATTATTTTGTTTTGAACTACCAAACTAGTTATTTTTAGTAAAATAATGTTTACCATAAGTATTCAAATTTAATTTAAATGGAAACACATGCGGATGTACCTTAAGTTGTAGAGAAAAAACTGTTTGTTCTCTCGTATTAAAATTTTTTTTTACCGGAGTCTACTCCCTTAATGGCTAATTTTGTATATCAAACAACACTGTGTGTTAGGCTAAATAAGAATTATTTTGTTTTGTAACATTTTTATGGGACCTCAGTGGTAATTTACCAATTATCTAAAAGATTTAATAAAAATTTACACATAATGAACTTAAAAGTTAGCTATAATCATAAAATTATTACATCTTCCACACTTTAATTACTAGCATCTGCTGGGTTAAAACTACCTACCTAGGTATGAACTAGGCTAGACTAATATGTCCTAAACCAAGAACAAAGTATAAATAAACACAAAATAGCAGACACACTTAACTGGGGGGAAAGAATAGGGGGGGGGGTAATTTCACAAAATAGTGTCAGTAAATATGGGGGCTTATGGGCCAGGTAATGCTAGATTGTTAGTTTATTGAGTTTTGTAAACCTTATCTTATTAGTAAACTAGTTATTGGTATTTGAATGTAAACCATACTTTATTTGAAATACTAACTGAAATACTAATAAAATTGAGTGTACAAAATTAGTGTTTTAATTTAATAGAACACAGTAGACACTAATTATACTATTACTAGATTTGATTATTTGTAGTCTTAGTAAGTAAAGTAAGGTTCCCTTTTCAAACTTGACAGTCTGTAGGGCAAGTGAAGTAGAGTTCACTTGTTTCTGTGACTTCGGCATATGAAGAGATAGTGTGCCCAGCCGCCTTTACTTTCCCTAACGTGTGTTAGGTACCCATCAGAGTTGGGTAGACTCAGTCTCAGTGACGGTCTACTGATTCGAACTTGAGACTTACGGGTTAACAGCCCAGCTCTCTACCACTAGACCACTCCGTCCCTGTAGTCTTAGTAGTTAGCTAGATTTCTAGATCTAGATTCCATTTCCAGATTACTACTTTACTAGAATGTCTAGATTCTAGAATCCAACTAGAGTCTAGGTCTAGACTTTTAACTCTTGACTACTAAACTAGAATCTAGAATATGTTTCCAAACTGAGGGTATAAATGACCCCTGGGGGTTGCCAACTGGTAGAAACAAAAATTTAAAATTCTCTATAGTAGTCTATTATAGTATAGTAATAAGTAATAAGTATAGGCCTACAATTTCTTTTTTAAAGTTTTTAATTGTGTCTTGAAGTTAGAAGAATTTAATATTAAGCGACTAAAGACAGGGTGATTACTCGAAATACTTGTATGTAGGTTACTTTTCTAATTTTTTATTTTATTATTTACTCCGATTTAGGTTGTTCATCTTGTGATTTTGGTGAGCATTTTTTCTTAGCTGACGATTTAAAAACATAGAGTATTGAAGTTTTCAGATTTTTTACATGTGACAGACCGTTTTCGCGCCTATCTCGCAGTTTACCGCCTCGCCATTTCGCAATTTCCCAACACTTCCATTCAAATAAATAAATTATTATTTTTAATTATTTTATTATTGGCCCATTAACTTTGTAATTGTTGTTTGGGATGATTTTAGATACCGGTATCCGATAATAGACTCTTCCATAAAATAGGCGTGTTTGATTGTTAATAATAATAGTTTTATTAGTTAATAATAAGTATTATTAAGTATTAGTATTGTTATTGTTATTGTAATCTCGACTAATTTTATGGTTAGAAATAAGGGTTAGGCGTATGGTAGGACCAGGGTTGAAGTTACGTTAGGGACAGGGTTAGCATTGAGATTAGCTGCCATGTGTGTATTTAGTTAACTTAAGTTAACTACCAGTAACCGAACACCCCTATTTTTAACTATTTTAAGGAAGATTCCGTTATCAGACACCGGTGTGTTAAATTCTCCCGTTGTTTGCTTTCAAGTTGATGAATTCAGAGACGTGATTTTAGATTATTATTTAATTAATTAGGGCTTAATCGAAACGTTTATCGAAAATAACAACCTTCTACGCTTGCACAAAAATTCCTTAAAGTAGTTTTTATTAACTGTTGTTTCAATAAGTTGCGAGAAAGTGAGAAAAACATTGTTGGCTTCAAGGTTATGGACGCTGCCATTTTGAAAATTAAAAACTAAGAATCTAGATCCAGATTTAATATAAGGGGAAGCTACTTGCCATGTATAACAACGAAATGTATGGTAGCAACGGTTTTTTTATTGCAAGTAAGCTTAGAATATGACGACAGTCAACAGTTTTGTACAACCGGAGTAGTATCGAAATCTGCTTGGTTTATTATCATAATACTCTAAACTCTAACTCTAAATGTGTAAGAATTAATGTGTCCTATAACTAGATCTTTATTTTTACAGTTTAAAGTTAAGATTTAAGAAATATTTAAAACTAAGCTAAAAGAGTAAAAGTGTAATTTAGTGTAAGTACTCTAGCATCTCTAGTACTTATAATACCATCTAGTAATGAGCTAGATCTACTTCTACTAGTCTACTATTATTATATTTGTATATAAAGTATATTTATAAGTTTTTATAACTATACTACTAATAACTTAAGGCCTAATAAAATTAAGCTTGATTACTAATAGTAATAATAGCCTATTAGTATTAACTATTATAATATTATAGATCTATTTAATAATAATATTGATAAGTTGATCTAGGCTACCTTAGTAACTATATTTATTCTAATTTTATAATTTAAATTAATTTAAAAATTATGGCTAATATTTACTATTTAAAGAGCAGATAATTGCACTATGGGGGAGGGGGGGAATCCTAAAATGATGTCATTCTATTTTTGACTATTTTTACCTCCCCCCCCCTCCCCCATCTGACACATTGTAAGCTAAAAAAGGAAGCCCCCCCCCCCTTCGCCAAGTGATGTCACACTGAACCTCAGCCTACAACCTGTGCTCTGTCAACATAGTATATTAATCAATTACAAAAACTGTTTTCTAAAAAGCAAAACTACTTTTTTAAATGCAAAACTGTGATGTCTATCTGGAATCCCCCTCCCCTTCATTATGCATCATCATCACAAAATTATGAACTTCATATATTTAGTGAGTACAACCAAGTGAAAATCATTTGTATTTGAATTTGTAGACAATGGATCAAATGATGGCAGCACACATTGAAAATTCAAAGTTTGGAATCCCAAGCTGGAGGATTGAGCAGAAATATGATAGTAAAGTCCTGATAGGAAACTGGGCAGAAGAAAGACTCAAGGTATATTGATTTTTTTTATTTTTACAGGTTGCTGCTATCTAGTCCTACAGACTAAGTGTGATGAAATATTTTATAAAGGTTTTATCAACATGTTACCAATCATGCATTTTTAGATGCTTTGTGAAATGGAGTTATTTGAATTTAAATAAAGCTAGCTTTCTTGGATCATAGTTGTTGCTAGTTGATCCACACTACCACACAGATGCCCCAGGAAGTGCTTTATGAAAGTCAAGGGTGTACGTTAATCACCCTCCTTAATAGGGAGATAGAACACCCATCGGTGACCAGCGAGGTGCAGGGGCTTTCTGGGGTGCTTTGTGTGTCGCTAGTGTAGGGTGCTCTTTAATAATTAAAATGGATTTAAGCACCAAAGTGCTCATATGGGAGCTCTGGTTCGATTTAGTCAATGATTATACTAATCCACTGTTTTCATAGTGTATGACACTATTTGAAATGAACATAGGTGTCATAGTGCTTATTGTGGAGATGAGGTGTACTTGGCCATACATACAAACAAGCCCACCTACTTTCATTAATATGTAGTTTTTTAACAAGAAAAGTATTACTAATTCATATACTATAAAAATGCAAATTTAATGGGATTCACATCATATATATTATTTAAAATATTTTTAAGAAATTCAGTTTTCAACGTTTTAACTCAAATAAATTAAATTATCTGGGTTTTTTTTTTTTTTTTGATATTCATTATTATTTTCATAATTCTGCTGAATATTTAAATTTAGTTCTAACATCTCAGTTTCCAGATACAAAGTACAAGCACAATTCAACAAATCGGATAGATTTTAAAAGTTATGGAGAAGTCCATCCTGATGTGACTGTTCGACGCAACGCTTTGTTGAATAATGAAGGACTGCCTGCTGATATGATCTTCCGCCATCATGATGATGCATACAATAACATGTTGATAACAACTTATGATGAAAACTTTAATGGTCGCTGGCGGGAGAATAATTTACCAGCATTGAGGAAGTGGGATAGTCAGACTCTAGGATGGCTGCCTGAAAGATCAGACTATCCTCTCCGAGGTTAACATTAGTTTTTACTCACTCTTTACTCAGTCATTTACCCAATCCATGCCGTGCCATCTGATGCTTGAAGTTCTGTTGTGGCTTGAGAGATGTCTTGTTATCTAAATTAATTTCTCTTCATTAAATTCCTTCTCCTCTCCTTTACATGGTCCACCTGAGTAGTTCCAGTAATTATTAACAGAATTAAATACCCCAGCTACAACCAGCCCTATATCTGGATACATTTGATAATAATCAGGCTCAAAATAAAATACTAGTATTCAAGAGAGAATCATATGCTCAAGTAATTCAAGCATGGGGTGGTCAAACTTACATGTTTAGTTTGTGGCTAGTTTGTAGAAATTTCTAGCAGCTGGTTTTAATTTTAATCCCTACCATAATAGATTAAATCTACATGTCTGAGTTGTTGAACTTGTAGACTAATTAAATATATTTTTAGTACTTGGAACTGTTGCTATGATGTCACTGAAAGCTAGACTCAGGATGATTTTCCAAAATACTTTGGTATTTATACAATGCATTGCAGCTGTCCATTTCTGTTTTGCTAGAAGAATTATCAATTGTATTGTCATTTCAGGTCCACCAACAAATTTTGGGTTAAAACAAGAGATTGATGCTAGGAATGAGGCTCGAAGAAAAGCATGTATTGAGCCAGAATTTTCAACAACCTACACGTGCTCTTACAAAGAAAAACCAGTGGACGCCATGAGATTTACCCGTCATGCCACACCCAAGTATATATCTACTTCTTTACTTCCATCTAATAAAATCAACAACAACCTGCTATTGCGTGGAAAACCTGCTTTAAGATTGCCAGAGATTATGCCTCAAGAGCTTACGCAGATCTCTGTATGAACCAAACAGTTGTCTATCCACTAATGAAAATATGCTACATGTTAAGTTTGAAAACCCACAACTATGTGTACTAACTTCTGAAATAAAAATATTTGCCTAATTACTTGTAGATCTATTATTTAAAAGTAAAAGGGTTTCACTGAAGTGAAAATCGTATACGTTGGCTTGTACATTTTTATCTTTACTAGATACTACTTATTGTCCATATTTAACAAAGTATGATATGTAGACATATAATCTTCAAAGTATAGGCTTGCCAATTTTTTTAAATGAAAAAAAATACAAGTTACCATATTTTGTTAACATTTCTTTAACAAACCAATTTTTCAAAACCAACCTGGATGGGTTTTTTTCTTTATTTTATTCATTAAGTTTACACAGGTCACATTATCATTATATAAAGTTTTTAAACTTTATAATTTTAAAAAATTTAAACCAATTACAAATGATTTTACAATGGATCGCTACATCTAACGAGGAATCTTTTTCTTTACAAATGATTTTATTTTCTCAACTGTCTTACTGCTATTTTAAAAAATTGCATAAAATTACTTTTAAAAGTATCAATTTTAAAATATTTTCTTTACCGTTTGACAGTATGTATTTGATATATATAACTTTGAAAAATGTTGTAGCTTGATCTTTGTAATATACGTATATTAAAAGTATTTTAATAAAGGTTGAAAGTCATTTTTTTTATTATTTGTGCCTCTCCTGCAGCTTTTGCTAATAGAAACCATTTTTTGTGCCAATAATTTTGTGAACAAGCTGGAAGTAAGTACGATTAACAAAGGGACACATTGGGAATCAATTGAAAACTCCATAATACAAACCAATTTTGCTTGTGTTCATGATCATGCACAGCAACAATCCATCTTACATCCACTGGCTAGTAACACCTGTGACCACTATGTTGAAATTATTGCTTTAGATCCAATTTTCTATTTTTAAGGGGCCTATATAAACCTTAAACAATCAACAGAAATAAATCTGACAGTTCTTTCACAACCATACAATTAAAGAGCAGGATAATTAAAGTGACATTTTATATACATAGTCCACACACAAGTATTGGAAGGAAAATGTAAGTTTATTTATCTATATAAATATAAATACTGACACAATCAAATATAAAAAAATATATTTCAAAACAAGTACAGCAGTAAAATGGTATAACAATTTGATTATCAAATCAGTACATTAGAATAAACAAATTAACACCAGTTAAAAATAGTGTACAATATACTCTTATGAAAACTGTTCACAAGCCACAACTACTTGTTTTAACTATTAAATTATAGGCTCTTTCACACTTAAAGTTGCTTGTAAATGCTGTTGATAAGTCCTCATCATTCTACGGTAAAATAAACTAAGTTGTTTATTTTTTGGCTGCAACAGAAAACACATTTAATGGTGTATATGGCTGAAACATAAAACTTTTCTTTATAACCTTACCAGTCAATTAAATAGATTCCATAACAGCCCTGTGTGTTTATCTAATAATCCTTAAAAAGCAGAATACTCACGAGCTAATCGATATACACTGCATAAAAAATATTATTCACAATACAATGATCATAGATTTAAAACTAGCACAAGTGCTGTTTTCTTGATCAATACTTACTGATCATCATTAAATTATTCTAATTCAAATTTAATGATTTACTTCACTTTAGTTTCATGGGCCACATCTATGGTCATCTACCCCCCCCCCCCCCCCCCCCCCCCCACCTTCCCAAAAAAAATGACAGGTGCCTCACTTTAAGTTACAGCTATTGGCTAAATTTTACTTTCCTGAAATCATCATGGAATATGATATGTACTTTCTTTCTTTACCCTCTTTCCCCCCACCCACAACATAACAATCCTACCTATCAAAGACTTTAAAACCAGCATACCAACGATAATTATTTTGCTTACTTGAAATATATATAAAAGTAAAATTTGTATATTTTATTTTCTATCAAGCATTAGTTTATTTCGGTAAATACCTTTTAGCTTGACAGATGATGAGGCAGATTTCTTGATGGACATCTTCTTTAGTATTTGATATTCACTTTTAGCTGTTGCCAAAGAAGTTTGGATGGGTTAATTAGTTTTTTGCTGTTTTTTTTTTTAATAAAGGAATGACAACTGTTTAAATAAATATATGAAAAGAAGACCTTGTTTGAGAGGTATTCTCAAAACTTCTAATTTCCATTTTTTCTTTACAACTAACATTAATATACAAGAAGGGGACATAAATATTACTTCTACAGTTTACAGCAGGCTCATCTAAATTGAAACTCCAAGTTTCCTTATTATTTAGACACAATAACAACACACAAAAAATTTCTTATTGAAATCCTATTCTCATTTTGACATCAGACAAAAATGTACATACCTAAAACATGAGGATAAAGATAATGTGGGTTAGTGTAGATTTCTGGCTCATAAAATGATGGATAAGCATAGTGTCGTTCAAGCCAAGTTTCAGGAGAGTCTAAAATGATTGGTTTTAAACAGATATGGTCTTTATTAACAAGATTAGATGATAATATCAGCTAGTTGAAAATATGCTGGGATTAAAGATATTTATTTGGAATTTCTAATTATTTATTTATTTGTGCACACACATTAGTGGTGAAGTTCGAACAGCTCTTAACTTCAAATTATTAAAAGTGTCTTTCAAAAGTAGCAACTTAAAACAATTGGTCTAAAGATGCAGGAGAGGTAATCCATTAATCATAGATTATAAGCTAGATTCTTTTAATCAATGTTAAAAGTGACTTCAGACAAACTAAAATTCAAAACTAAACAAAAGTGTTAAAAATGTTCTTAAAAAAAATATATAGGCATATATATATATATATATATATATATATATATATATATATATATATATATATATATATATATATATATATATATATATAGGCATATATATATATATATATATATATATATATATATATATATATATATATATATATATATATATATGTTACGGTCAAAGCCCGATGCGCGCATTGGCCAATATCGCCTCCCACAGGTCGGTAAAAGTCCGAAACTTTGCTTAATTAGAAGATCATCTAGCTAGGGACGACCGGCCAAAGTCCGAATTGGCCGGCCAATCCGCGCTTTGGCCGCACTTCGGGCTTTGACCGTAACATATATATATATATATATATATATATATATATATATATATATATATATATATATATATATATATATATAATATACATCCATACACACATAGACATACATACATCTTTTATGTGTATATAGTTCTAATGCTTAAATATAAAAAGTTGATTTGGATATATTGGACAATGGGACATGGATATAATACTAAGGGAGATAACAAGCTCTGCTAAGGTGTAGCCAACTGATCAAACAAAGTCATTCTGGCATCATCAAAAAGAAGACAAAAACTAGCCATTAAAAGCTTGGCCGTAAAGCATTCACTTAAGTCAAATTGAAATATTTTCAAAGCAACTGAATTATGATTTGATAGGTGTTGCACTTGTAGCTTTTAGTGGACCTTTAAAAATGATAGTTTATATAGAGTATTTTACAAAATTACACTCAATATAAACTGAATATCCAAGGTTTGTATCCACTCTATGTTTTATTTGGGTATTCTCAAATTTAATTTATTGAATAGAATTTTGGTCCCAATAAGTGGATACTAAAAGGGACTTTTTTGAGAAAAATCAGAAATAGTGACAAAATGCAATTTGTGAGAAGAACGAGTTATAGTGAAAACTACAATTAAAACAATTTTAAAAGTTGTAGCATCTGGAACCTCTTACTTCGAAATTAGAACAGCTTTTTAAGCTCTTTATTATTTTTAGGTTGGTTAATTATGCTAAATAGCCTATAGGTGAATTAAGTCATTACTCTAATTAATTTAAAAATGTATTTAAAAAATACTACCAACATTTAATCAAGCAAAATAATTATACAAAAATGCTCAGAACTGAATGTAGTTTAAAAACAATAATTTTTTTTTAAATCTGATTTAAATGTGTATTTTGGGAGTGTAACTTCTTGAGACTCTTTAGGTTTCTGTCAACAATCTGATTGACCTGAAACTAAATATTTGATACAACCAACTTTTTGTTACCTACGCACCTAATAGCTGATTGGGACCATAAGGTTTAAGCTCTCCAAGCTCAGAGTGGCTACAAATCAACTCATTTCCTTCATGAAACGACCATATTACAGTTATCTTTTTTTCACCCACAGTAGTGGTATGGACCACGGTTTGTTCTGGAAGAAGAAGTTACAATATTAAAATACGTAACATAAAAAAAAGTCGTAATTGCTATTATTTTTATTTAATCAAAAGCATAAACAATTTTTTTTAATTCAAAATCAAACCGAAAAAAAACCTATAATTTGCATGAAAGTTCTTATAAAAGAAATATATACAAATATGCACATACGCACATACAAATACATGCATACATACGTAAAACTGTTAGGGTTGTTCTATTTGTTAGGTAGTAAATAAGTTTAACTGAGCGAGTCAGTCTCAAGTTCAGAAACATGATGTTATGTCTAATTATGTGTTATGACATAACACACAGACAGAAAGGATTGTAAAATTAATTTTTTCTGGCTGGGACGTTTGCAAAACTATAAAATTACACGATTACAATAAAGTAGGGAAAAGTGAAACAGCAAAAATTGTCAAAATGTCAATACTTTCTCTATACTCTGCATGCAACTCATAAATAGGACATATGCATATGAGTGCGCAAGTGCATGGTGTAAAGGATGAAAAGCAATTAGGTGGGAGCTTACAGAACAGTAAGAACATGATGAATAACTTTTTCATGGAAGCTTAATGGGGACTGTTTTCTAATTGTTCCATTTTCCTGTTCTAATGACACAGCTCAGGGAATCTCACGAGAATGTGTAATGAGCTCTAGATGACTCTAGTTAGTTATAACAATATCCTTCATGCAAGGGATCAAATTCATTGTTTACACCAGTACTACTGGGGGTCACTCTTTATCTCTAGACACTGTTGACACCTTTAAATTTTACAAAGTACCTTTACAATTGTTGTTTATATGTTCACATTCAAATATTACATAACAAGGCACAAGTTGAATTGCTACATTTGGACGAGATACAACAGACACTATAGAAAAGCATAGCAAATTAATTTTTAATTATTTTTTTAATTGAAACCCTTCAAAATCAAAGAAATATGATTAATTAGTAAGAAAAACTGGTTGCAGTGGATGATAAACATTTTAACACATTTACAGAAGGTGAAAGAATAAGTTGATAATATTCCAAAGAATATAAGGCATTACCTTTAGAAGAATCTTTATATATTGTTATTGATGACTTCCTTTTGTTCACATCATCTTCAACACTCTTTACTACCTTTAATTCTTCTTCAAAGATAGTTACTACAATATGATTAAAAAACAGTGTGATGTTTGGAAGAGCTGCTACTTAAGTTATACAAATGCATGCATGTTCATAGTGGTGAAAACAATTATTTGTAACAAACTTATTTTAACAGCAAACTATAAAGCTTAATATAAACCAGGAATTTTGAAAGATTAAGACTGGATTGTCTTGCTAGCAAATAAAATGGTTGTTGTTTTGTTTGTTTTTTTGTAAATTGAGTAATTGTTTTAGAGTTCCATATTTGACTAAGGGCCAGATCGTCTTCTGTGGAGTTAAATTACTTTTTCGTGTTGCAGACAAGTACTACTATAAAGAAATAATTACATACATTCTTTTTCATCCAAGGGATTAGTGATGGCTGCCAAAAGTGAGCATATACTATATGCCTTTTTCTCATCAATTGCTACAGATGTTTGTTTGGTAGGATCTTTTAAAAAGTAGGAATATTATATATATATATATATATATATATATATATATATATATATATATATATATATATATCTGATATATAAAGTTCAATTCTGTACGTTTATATGTAAAATGTTTGTCGTGGATTACAAAGGAATATAAGAAAAAAACTAAAATAATGATACGTTGATGGATTCAAGTGTTAGATTATTAAAGAGCTCATGGTCTAAATTTATGAGTTAAAAAATTACTATTGAAAGTCTTTAAAAACAATTTTCATTTTATATACTTAAAATAAAAATTTTAATTATGAACATTACATAAATTTTTTTTAAAAAAGTGTTTTCATTTGTATTTGTAATTGTGTTAGCGTTATGTTTGCGTTTTGATGTTTTGGTTTTGGTTGGTTGAGGTTAGGGTGGGCAATGCCGGGTATATGATGATTACTAAACACACAGGTAATGGTCTTTAACAGAATGGTTTTTCACAGAGGCCAGAGCAGGGCCTGGCCGGGACAGCTAGTATATATATATATATATTTACAATTATTTAAAACGAGAAAAATGGCCCGTTGAGGGAGGATACAACGGGCGCTAGGCTGATAGTGCTGTCTCTTTTCTCTAAACTAAAACCACCCCCCCCCACACACACCCCCCCCCAAAAAAAACATGTCTACCGTCCCATTCAACGAAATATAATTATATACTTTTTCCAGTGTCCGCCCCCTCCCCGAAAATTCTACACCCGCCCCCGAAAATTTCAAGTACCCCCACCCCTCTCCGGGGAGGTAAAAGTCTAAATTAAAACCACCCCCCCACTCACCCCCCCCCCACACACACACACACACCACACCCCCCCCCCCCTAAAAAACCATGTCTACCGTCCCATTCAACGAAATATAATTATATACTTTTTCCAGTGTCCGCCCCCTACCCGAAAATTCTACACCCGCCCCCGAAAATTTCAAGTACCCCCCAACCCTCTCCGGGGAGGAAAAAGTCTAAATTAAAACTACCCCCCCACTCACCCCCACCCCCCCCCCCCCACCCCACCCCCCCCCCCCCTAAAAAAACATGTCTACCGTCCCATTCAATGAAATATAATTATATACTTTTTCCAGTGTCCGTCCCCTCCCCGAAAATTCTACCCCCGCCCCCGAAAATTTCAAGTACCCCCCACCCCTCTCCGGCGAGGAAAAAGTCTGAAAGAAACACTGGTGTCGCGCTTAGCCACTACCCGAAGAATTGCATTAAAGAAATTGCAAGAAAACCACTTTTTAGATTAGACACATTAATTAGGCGGTAATTTTATTATAGAGTATCGATGAAGAAATTTCTTTTGAGTTGGGGAGGGGGGGGGCTCAGACGTTCTTACGCGGGGGGTGGGGCTTCGCCCCTACCCGAAGAATTGTATGCAAGAAACTCTTCAAGCAAACCATTTAGATTAGACAAAATTTATTTTTATTCAATGTTTACTCGAGAATCAATGACGTCATATTACTGTGTGCACTCTCCGGATTGAGATTATTTTCTACTCTATGCTAAATGTGACCGCGTCATACTTCGTTTTTCGAATTACTGTGCATGTTTTTATTTTGCTTGTGTTTTCTCTACAGCGTTCTTGTCAGATAGATAGATACATAGACAGACAGCGAAACTATTAGTATTGATAAATATGTGTGTGTGAATGTTACTGCCACAACCCAAAGCCGGCCAATGTCAAAATGGTACTTGATTTCAGAAATTGACTGTGAACTAGTATTAGTATAAGTCACATGTCTTAAGTTCACATATAACTTGATTCAAAAAATTTCTTCCATTATAAAGAAGACATTCAGCAGCTGGTGAGCAAATTCTGCTTTTGGTATTCAAAGCTCTTAATAATATGAAATTTGTAAAATAATCTTGGTAACTTGGTATAAACTTGTATGCAACATCTGGGTTACTTTGTACATCAATAAGATCCACCTGGCATCTTGAGTTAAATTCTTTAAGAATCAAAGGTTTGGATACAGGACTTTTCTTGGAATTAGACAATTTAGCACAAGCAGAAATACATAGTTATGGTTTCCTGGGTGATATTTTTGTACTTTCTCTTCAGCTCTTTTTCCATTGTGTGCGTTGAATAACTCTTCTGAATGCAGGTAGTATAAAATAAGACTATTGTCTCCTGTTAGCATTACAATATGTTTTCTTTTGCTATTAATTTCAAGAACTTCATATTTTTTAGTTGACTTGTCTCATCAGAAGAAGCCACGGGAAAACCTATAGAACAACAACATCAATAACAGAACTGAAATACATTATGGGGATGACAGGATTTTGAATATGTTATATAATGCTAATGGTGGGGTTAACGGTTATATATTTTCAAGTTATATATGTCCTCGAATTTTAGTCTTTGCTGCATTATTAATGAGTATTAAATGGTAAAAATTATTTAAATTTCAGACATTAGGATACTATAGTTAAAAAATATCTTTGTCTGTATTTTCATAATCAAGATCTAAAACTTACCAATTTTTACTTCACAATCAAGCAAACTTAGTGTTAAAAAGTCAAGTAGTCTGCAGTGCATGACAACCGGGATAGCAATTTTGTCTGGATTTATCATGAAGTCTGGTCAAGGTGCAGTGATGTGTCAATTATTTGGTGTTCCTTTTTTATTGGCAAAATGTGGCTGAAGATGAGCACATCATCTCCTGTCGCTTGGACAATATTGTTCACCTTACACAGGTAGCACATATCACGACAAAGTCTTTTGAATGTTGTCTTGTTGCACTTCGACGGAGACGCAAGCAGTTTTTTATTTTGTTCTTTGATGATTCTCTCACTCATCATCATAGAGGATGTTATCACATGTAGAAGTAGCCCATAATATGAAACAAACAAGGACGTGATTTTTTTCTTTCTTGTGATAATCCATTTGGTCTATGGCGCATTGCATATAGAATGATATACAAACACAAGCAGAGCAATGAAACCGCAGCCAGAATAATTAAAACTCTATCACACCGCATACATTGGACATTGGCTAGTGCACAAATTGGCCAGCCAATGTACAAAAAAGCTCTTTAGACTGGCCAAGAGAGCCGGTACGCATTGGCCGCACTTCTGGCTTTGGCAGTAACATATACATATAGAGTACAAACTGGTTTGGAAAAGTAAAAATCCTTTATAGGGGCAAACTCCCATTTCTTCTACACCAGAACTATTGGATGTAAAATCAGCATTTAAATCATCAAGAACTAACCCTATGGTTTGAGACAAAATATGAGATGTAACTGTTACCTTCAAGTTTCCCAAAAATGATATCTTCTATGGATTTGCTTGAATGTACAACTGGCAGTTGTGACACTCTTTCTGTCACTTTTTAAATGTCAAATATTTACATAAAATCAAGATTATACAAAGTGTGTAATATTTCATACAATTTATTAAACAGAGTTTTTATCTACTTAATTTTTTTGAATGTAATAAACACTGATATGAACTATATTAACTGTAAATGAGCTGTTAAGAAATATTATAGATGAAAGTTTGACTTAAGATGAAAACAAAACATTACAAAACAATACAGTTCTATACATCAAATAAATTAATTCAAAACAGTTACAAAAAAAATATTCTGCTTAACATCTTTATAAAACATTACTATATTGGTGTCTTAATGACTGAAACAAAATTCATGTAGGATTTGATCTTTTTGATTTAATCAAACAGACACTAATCTTTAAATTTTTAACTGATGCAAAGTTTTATTGAATGAATCTATTGCCTGATTAAAAATGTCATCTCTTACTCATTTCTGGCTGCTGCCATTGGTTTATTGATTGGCGCTCATTAAATGTTCTTTCAAAGTCTTTAGATTGAGTTGGGAATACATCAATTGAATCTTTTAAAGCAATTCCATCCAATGCTTCTTCTTTTTCAGTTGATTCAGCTGACAAGTGGTTAAAAGTTTAAAGACAACTATTTGTTCAATATATTACTACTTTTTTTCTTGAAGAAATTAAATAACTATAAAGACAAGAAGTAGGGATGGCATGGTCAATTGGTAGACCATTTGACTGCTAACCTTAAAGTCTTGTGTTTCAGTTCCCAGTCTTGAGTCTATAAGATGTCCTTAAGTCCACCCAGCTCTAATGGGTACCTAACTTTAATGAAAGTAAAGGCGGCTGGGCATAGCACGACCATCTCTTCATATGTCAAGGTCACTGAAACAGGTGAACTCTACTTCAACTGCCCCCATGGACCATCAGGTTTGAAAGGGTACTTTACTTTTAACAACAGAAATGTGTTAGAAGGATGAACAGATTTAACCTGTATCCCATCAAACTCAGTAAATAGCTTGTAATAAGTAATCTAATTCGCACACAGATCTAAGCCTACTGCTTTGTTTACCCTTGAATATTAATAGTGACTGCTGTTCAAGTGATTGAGATTTCTCTGTTCTATCATCAGATTTTGCATCTGTGACTTCTATAGATTCTACAAAGATAAAAGGTGTTGATAGAAGTTGATAAAAGTTCCAGTTAGCTCGTGTGATAGAAAAAAAATTATATCTATATATACTTTTAAATTTTTATAAAACAGTCCTAACCTGATAACTCTAACCCAAATATAACATTAAACCTAAAGCAAACATGAATCCTAACTGAAACTAAATAAAATAATGAGCCTCACATTGAAAATAAGTTAAAGTATAAAAATAGAACTGAAATACTTTTCAGACAATCCTTAGTTTTTTTAGCAACATGATCTAACAATGAAAAAATTATTTTTACCCATACAGATTTAATATAAAAAAATGTATTTTTAATTATAGGTTTCATGCATGCAAATAATGTATGCTTGATCATTTACCTTGTGCTTTCAATTCTGCTGACAGTGATCTTTTCCAAGGAAGTACATATGAATCACCTTTCTTTAATTGTATTACATTTTCTACAGAATAATATATTAATGATATCTTACTTGAATATTATCTTATTTTACATTTCTAATATGGGTATATGCATCCCCAGAGTATAACTATAATCAAATAGCGGTATGACTTCACGAGGGTGAAATGACATCAACAATTCATATGAATAATGATAGGATTATATGTAAAGGCAGAGCACATGACAGTTGAGTCAGTTCATATCATAAGACATTCCACAGTCCACCTAGCTTTAATGGATACCCAACTCAAGTTTGAAAACACCACAATCACATCACCTTCAGAGCTTACAAAAATGTATGATTTCTAGTTCATCTACCCTATGGGTATGGGTAAAAATATTGAGAATAATGTATTTTGTCTCAAGTAAACATAACTGACATGGAGACATGACCTGGAAGAAGTCACCGGAAGATTGGATACACCTGGGGACAGCCGGAGAGACTACTAGCCCAGTACAGAGATGCCTGTAAAGCTTTTGTCAGCGGCCTATGTCCCAGTTGGGGCAACAAGATAACCTAGCCTTACCTACAGATAACTGCTACAAAAAATGAGCAATATCTACCTTTTTTAATTGGCAAAGATTGTTTCTTCACATCTGTAGCTGGTTTTTTCTTATGTTTTGCAGTCGCAGTGCGCTTTTTTTTCTGTTCTGTTGTTACTTCTTTAGGAAGGTCAATCTTTATGATATCAGGGTCATCTGAAAATCTTACTCTAGATTCAACATCTAAAATTTTTTGTTTCAAGTCCAGTTCTTTGGAAATTGAACTCCGAGCATCTTTCACATTGATATCAGCATCTTCAAAAAGAATAAAAACGTTTCTGCCAGAAATGTGGTTTTACTTGAATTATATTAGTAATAACTAACACTAACATTCCGGAGTTGTACTACCCAAGGTTCGTACTTTAACAGTAATACTGTAGTCAATGTTTCATTTATTTATGTTGCAGCCAATAAAAAATTGCTCTTACCTTTGGGTAGAAGAAATAGGCTAGAACTATCTTGAACTGGAACATCTTTTGAGTCTGTAAGTTCTAAACTGGATATCTTGGCAACTGGTGCAAAAATGTACACAAAATAAATGACACTGGTATTTTAGTTGTGTTATACTTGTCTATAGGCTGTATAAATGACATACCTATGAAGGATCTTAAAAGCAACTATAATTATTTTTGCTTCAGACTGGATAAAGAAAACAGAATAAATGGGATATGCTAGCTACTGAGGGAGGTACATGTAATTATCAAAACTAGTAGAGTTTTGTAATATTTCTTTACTAACTTTAATCATATACTGCCAAAAGATGTTTAAAATTTTTGTTTTATTCTTAACAGGCTTGTTGAGGTTATATTAATATAAAATTATAAGCAATGACTGATTGTGGGGACGTTGTGGTTGGATGGCAGAGATTACGACTACTAACCAGAAAGTGTCAAGTTCGGGTCCTGTGTTTCTAGGACGTCCCTGAGTCCATCCACTTATGATGCACATTAGGGAACATAAGACATAGTGTTGACTACACTATAGCCCTTTAAGCTATGGTAATTGAAACAGATGAGCTCTAATTCATCTGCTTCATCCATGTGTCTTGGGCAAGAACAGGAAAAGATAATGAGATGATGATTTTATCTATATTCACATCTATTTATGTTGAAGTAAATTGCAGATAGTCTTACCATTAGCACTTGAGCTACTACGAGTTTTTTTACGTTTACTCAATGAGGGTACATCTATGCCATGCCAAAGATAAAGAACAAAAGTTAAGGCAATGTGTCGATTAAAATATACCCAAAAATATTGTTAAACAGTCACACATTAAGATTTTCTACAGTCTTCAGCACTTTTAAAACACTGACAGTCTAGGTAATAAATGATGTGGCATTTAAGTGAAAGATTTTAATTCGTAGCAACTCAAAAACTCGTTTAGTGCAGCCTTTGCTGTTTGGTAAAGGCCAATTGTCATATGTAACGTAAACAAATTTCACAGATGATGATTTTAAAAAATCAAACCAATTACATACGTTTAACAGGTCCCACATCACTGGAAGAAGAAGACACTGCACCTACAACATATTTTTACTTTAAACATACATTTGCTTGGTGATCTCTTGAATAAAATTTCAATAAGAGAAACAGTCTAAATTGTGTTCGGCTGTACTTAAACTTCATTACCTGTAGGTTTCTTTAACATTTGCTTTTTCTTTTTCAATTTTTTCAACTTTTTCTTTTTTTTACTCAAGAAAGCTGAAAAGAAATACATGAACAGTGTTAAGTTTTTTTTAACCAAATTTATAATCAAATAATCAATGCATTGGCCAAATCAAAAAACTATTTTACACTTGAGTCTAAACATGAATATCTAACAACCTGGTTTTAAATTAGAAAAGCAAAATTAGACTCCGACATTTTTTTTGCTATTATGTTAGTCTGTTCAGCTTTAATAAATAAATGTTAAAACCAGAGACATATCAGGTAAAGGGGGGAAGTAAAGCCATATTTACTTGCTTACACATGATTCAGTGAACAAAGTATTTTACATTCAATTTGCTAAAATGTACAGTATGACAAACCTCCTGGTTGCAAATCATCACTGCTGTCTGATTCAGATCCTGATGCGGATGACAACTGTGAAGAACCTGTTTAAGCAGCATGGAATCAAATAATCTTAAGACAGTGAGTTTTATAAAGCTGTTTGCTGGACTGTTTCAGTTTCATAAAACAAAATACTAACTATTGCATAAGAAACAGATATAAAAATTAGACTACACAAACTGAAAGCGAGATGGAAACCAATTTTTAGAATTGCCAAAATCTATTCAGATAGAACTAAAATGGCAAGTCTGATTTGCTCCAAATTAACATTTTATTTCAATAACAGTAAATGCCCAAATAGTGAAATAAAAACTCAAATACAATACCTTCTAAGCTGATGGGGCTTGAAGTTATTGTAGAGTCAGCTGTAGCTTGTGAGATCACAATTGTATCTAAATTATAAAATTCAAAGACAAACCCTGTGTTAAAAATTTATCAACATTCTAGTTTTTTGGAAAATTTTTGGAAAATATGTTTTACCTCAGAACATCTATGGTCAGGAGTGGGGGAAAATAAAATAAAACATAAGGTTCAGGTAATGCAAAGTTCTACTTCCAACACCTTTTATTGGTAGGACATTCTAGTGTGAAGATCTCATCTTTCAAGCTAGACACTTAAGAAGTGGTTTTTTTTCCAAACTTAAGACTGTAACCAATGAAAGAAACTTTATAAAAAGTAAACACACCTTTCAGATCTCCCGATGTCTCTTCTGCCACCATTATCTCCTCTAACCTTTCTTCTGCCTGATCAATGACATCTTGAAGATACCACTTCACTTCTTTTTGATCAACTCCTGATTGCAACCTTTCTCTGGCTCCTTCAATAATATTTTCCAAATATTGTTTAACTTCCACTATCACAACATCACTTTCATATATCTTTTGTGCTTCCTCAATAACATTTTGAAGGTAAGCCCTCACCTGATCACTTAGTGAAGCTGTCTTGTGTTGAGCTTCTTCAATAATATTTTGGATATATTTCTTAACGATCGGATATAAGACATTATCTGCTTCATCTCCATCTAAAGCTAAGTCACTCAGGTTTTTTAAAATGGAATGTTCAGATATGGCTGTTAGAGAATCACTTGAGGTTTTTTCTATACCTTTTTTCTTAAGGTGTAAGACAGGACCATGAAGGGTTTTCTTTTTGCTGGATGTAGATTTTGTGAATGAGCTTTCATCTTTCAATTTTAGCATTTTTTCTTTAGACCTGGTAGCCTTAATTCTCTCAGAATTTATTTTTTTAAGTCTTGACCATAAATTTTGAGTATCATAAGCAATTTGTTTTTGAGAAAGTTTATTCTATAGGAGGGATGAATAAATAAGAAAAAGTGTTAATTTTTTATTACTCTTTTTATCATTTAAATAAAGTCTTAAATATTCCTGATTTTAATTTAATTATCCGTTTGCACATACTTTAAATATGTGTTTTTGTAATTCCAACTTTCTGTTCTCCCATTTTAAATTTTCCTCATCAATTTCGTTCTTGTAATGTACCATTTCTTCAGCAAGTGCTATTCTTTTTTTATAATAGCAATTGGTATCCGCAAAGCGATAAAGCCACATAGCTGTATACTCAATGGGATCTTTAGGACTTTTTAAAAAAGATATTGAGTTATTAGTCATTTATAAGTTGTTTTTTTAAATATATTATTTGAAAATAAACATAAATCTTCAAATAAATTACTTGCTCCCTTTAAAACAAAGATACTGTTTCTAGGCATTTAATTTTTTGCATAGCACAACAAGAGTGTTAGGTTTGGCAATATTCACAGACCTGACAACAAATTTTCTACAAGGTCCAGACAGTAGCCCCCATTCCCACCCTCCCGACATACAGTTTTAATCATTAAAAGATTTTTTTTAAATAATACTTTGTTTCTAAATTGTATGGTAAAAAACATTATTTTAAAACAGTTAATTTCATACCTACCGAATTTGAAGTAATTCAACCATGCATTCTCTCAAGGCTTGTCCTAGAGGACCATACGTGTACAAGGAATCACCCAAGTTTACAAAAATATTCTCAACAGCATGGGGCTCAGTAGAAAGTCTTTGTCTATAGATATCTTGCAGACTCTCTGACTTTTTCTGCCTGAATTCTTTTTCCAAAGACAATTGTTGACCTGACATTCTTATGTTGAAATCTTTTTCCCAGACATACTGTCGAAACTTTTTCATTGATAGAGTTTTTTCTGGATTGCTGTTTTTAACATCAAATGAGTATAAGCTTAGTGACTTGTTTTTCTTATAACCTTGCACTCCTGAAGTCATGGCTCCTGACTCATTTCTCTCTATCTCACTCGGTAAACTTATTGCTTTTCTTATCTTTCCCAGAGGTCCAGCCTTATTCTGTTCTAAATCTGGTTCCAAAAAGTGGATGCCTACGGACTCTCTTTGTGCTGACTTTTGCTCCATGGTATTGATGTTTTCAGGTTCCCTTTGAGTGACATTCAAATCCATTGAGAATGTACTTTTCTGAATAGTTACACTTGTTCAATTACTAATGATGAACTCTACAAAATCTGTTTGAATACAAATATTATTAGATTATATATAACCATTGGGATGATTGAAGATACTGATGTCTGATAATAGACTCTTACAAAAATAGCTGTTAATTTGGTTGTAGTATTGTAATCTAAACTAATTTTATGTTTAGAAATTAGGATTAGGTGTATGGTAGAACTAGGGTTGGGGTTAGGGTTAGCATTGACATTAGCAAGCGATGTGTGTATTTTAGTTAACTACCAGTAACCTAGCACTCCTTTTTTTAAGAATATTCTATTATCAGACACTAGTATAAAAAAATCCTTCAAACATGGATGACTTTTTCAATTTCTACCAGTATTTCGCTAAGCCAAGAAAGCGATTGTAGGAAAAAAAGTCACAGGAAAAAAAACATAGGAAAAAAAAACACAGAAAAAAAGTCACAGGAAAAAAGTCACAGGAAAAAGTCACAGGAAAAAAAGTCACAAACATATATTTGCATGGAATTTGTTAATACTTTTATGTATTAAATATTCAGAGAGTGCAAATTAACTTAGGATTAACTAAATGTAATGTAATGTATGTATGTTGTCATTGTTGTATGCACATGGTAATTTTTATAATTCATCTAAAAATATTTTGTGTGAAGTTTGTAGATTGTAATTATGTTAAACATAATACTAATAGCATTGAATAGAATGTCCCAGCATCCTCGGTTTTCTCCATGTTTTTTAAAACACCAACATTAAATTACAGTGGCATGGTAAATTCATCTGACTTGCTGCCCTCAACAATAGTTATGATTAGTTCAACCACCTTTCCTGTCCACATTTATCACGGTCATTACATAACAAAACATTGGATCAAAACAGAAAGCCGACATGGTTCAAAGCTTGATGTTGACACAAAACGCCAACAACACACAATATGTTCGGACAAGGCTGACTGAGGAGAAGCCGACCAGAGAATAGCCTGCAGCAAACATATGCAAAACACAATGATGTGACTAAATTTCTTTTATAATTAACTTTTCTACAGCGTATTTAACTAAAAATGTAACAAAAGTTGAGATTTTTGGGTAAATTATCTTAGAGTATTTTTACTTACAATTGTTATAAACCATAATGCTTTTAACATCTATAAAAAATATGCTATAAAAAACACAACCCACAACAATAAACAAACAAAATTTTACAATTCTAAACAAATAAATCAAAATATTTCTGAAAATATTTTTGTGACTTTTTTCTGTGACTTTTTTTTCGATAAAATTTTTCCATTGTGACTTTTTTTCTGTGACTTTTTTTCCTAGCAAAAACTGTGACTTTTTTCTGTGTTTTTTTTTCCTGTGACTTTTTTTCCGTTCACCAAGAAAGCATGCCACTTGAAATTAGCTGACAATGTCAAGCCAATAAGAAGTAGACTTGGATGAGAATAGATTAGAAGGGATTAGTGAAACCTTTACTCTACACATTTCAAATTAAAACTCCTCACTTTTCCTTCTAGCTACCTTCAGCAGGAATTTGCTCTTTTATTAATACTTAAGAATGGTAATATAGAGAAAGATGCAAATGAATGACACCAAACTCTTCCTTTGTGAGCTTGAATAAATATAAATCAAACAGTATTATTTTGCTATATTTATTAATTATTACATTTACTATGTATGGTGTTCTAATTCTAATATCTATACCAATTTCTCCAGTGGGAATATTATATGGATTTATAACACAACCGACAATGTTCCAATTTCAATGTTTAATTTAATTAATAATAATTAATAAGTCCTAGAATCTAGATCTAGAGTTCCTAAGTCTTTGACTATTTTTTAAGTCCTAGATCTAGATCTAGATCTAAAACTAGAATTCCTTCCAAGATCTAGCTAGATGCCTAGCAGATTTTAGAGAGCTAGATCTAGATCTAGATTCTAGATATTTATATGTAATGGACAAAAGTCTTAATTATTCTGAATTAGAAAAAAAAGATTCAAGTACGCCGTCATTGACTCATTCATTGTGACTATTCATAGTCTAGAATCTAGTATTTAATGACTCTTTCTTTAACCACCAAGACTGAACACTCGAATTTTACATTAAAATGTCTCAATACATCGCAAAACTTTCCTTCTCTTGAGACAAATGAGTTCTTAATTTGAAATAGTTTTCACCGCCGTTTTTCGTATCTACGCAGAAACCAACTCTAGTAATAATAATTAAAATCTAGGGCCTATTTATCCATTTTTGGCTATAAACCATCTCGTAATTACTAAATACTAATATTAATTAAATGTCTCTGTTTGTCTCTTTGTTATGGAAAACTTTTATTTAGACAAACACTAAACACAAGAGAACTATTAGAAGAAGCAGTGGCGTTACTAGGACAGTTGTTACTCGATGTGGTATCTGAGGGTGTCACCCACCCCATCTAACATTTTTGCATCTTCGATTTGGTATCCCCAGATCCTTTTGTAGGTCTGTATGTTTTTTTTCTCCACACTCAAAAGGCGTGAGATGTCACTGGTAGCTTACTTGAGTGTCAAACATGGCCTACAAAATCTTGAGGAATTTGACGGCTAATTAACATCAGAGTTTCTTTCAGGCATTTCTTTACCGCCACTCCTCCCGAACGAAATAAAAAATATATATAATTTCTGAGGAAAATGCAGAGGCGTAGCGAGGGGGGGTGCGGGGGTGCGGATCGCACCGGGTGACACCATTTAGGGGGGGGGGGGGTGACACCAAGGCAAAAAAAATAGCAAAATATATAGAGAAAAACTTGAGGGGGGAGAGGGTGCAAATAGAAAGTTTGAGAAGGGTGCAGATCGAAAGTTTGAGGGGGGGGGTGCAAATCGAAAGTTTGAGAGATGGGGGGTGCAAATCGAAAGTTTGAGGGGGTGCAAATCGAAAGTTTGAGGGGAAGGGGTGCAAATCGAAAGTTTGAGAGATGGGGGGTGCAAATCGAAAGTTTGAAAGTTTGTCCCCGGGAAGGGTCACTACGCCTCTGGGGGGTGACACCATTAAGTGCCGCACCGGGTGACACCCGACCTCGCTACGCCACTGGGAAAATGTACAGGCTACTTTAGAGTTGGGGGCACTTAAAATATCCAGTTCAGAAATAATATTATTTCTGTATTTCGTCCGGGGTGGGGTTCGTAGACGCGCTTATGGGGAGGGGTGCATATTCCCACCACTGCCCCAAAGAGGTGCCTGGGGTTGATGTAGATCATAACGCCTTAAGCCTCGAGTGTCCACACGTTACTGTATTGGTACATAATAGAAAGTAAGTTTTAAGAGAACTAGATTTAGTGTGTACGTTAAAAATGTGCTTTTGGAGGGAGGGGGTTGGAATCAAAGAATTTTGGATCCATTCTAGATATGCATACTGAAGCCACTAAAGACGACAGTGAATATGGTTTTGCTAGTGCTGTATTGTAAGCCTTAAACAAAAAAGCAACCTGTAACAAAAAACAACATGTCAGAAAACCTTTTACAAACATGTAACAATAATTGATTGAAACTGTTTATTGTGTATTGTATCAGTTTTCACATAAGTATTTCATGCTCAGCTCTTGAAAACAGCACAAATTGATGACCTGGGTCCGACCAAACCAAACTACACACTCTCAAATCACTCTTTTCACACTTCTTTTCACCAAGATTTTTACAAAATTATTTGAACATCAAATTTGTTTTTAAAATGCAGGCTTACGATTGAACTTCAAAGATTAAAATAAAAACAAACATAGTGAACTAGATGGTTAAAATTTGTCCCCAACTTAATTCTATTAATGTATGTTTGGATAAATTTAGTTCAATTGATCATCTATAATAAAAGTTGAAATGCTTCAACGAACTACTTAACTTTAATGCATATATTTAAATAGTTTAAAACAATCTGAAAAACTTATGCATATGAACCTCAACAATATTTTGACAGTCATCAACAGAAAAATGCATCAAAAAGTGAAGTTTGAAATGAACCATTGCAAAAATTCAAATCACACCAACTCTTCATTTAGAAATCTCATATCTTACACCTGAGAGAAAAACATGGAATACACCAGCAGAACTGACGTCCTTAGTGGGATTTTATTGTTAAATTTACACCAACACCAGTACTTTCTTACAAGTTACATACAACCCTTACAAAAATAAACATTTATTCAAAACAGATATAATTATGTTTTAAGCATCTTGTAGTCTAAAGCAATATCTTCTTACAAGTACAAGTAAACAAGTTCATCAAATGGCTAAGGGTCATGTAAAAAATTAGTCAGGCACATCTGTCTCACATACATTTGTCACTGTCCACCATACTATTTTAATCTAACAGAGTCATGGTATTTTGTTAGTCTTACAATAACTATTTATAAGACCCATAGAATTTTTAAATTACATGTTATTAAAATGAAAGCCTGTTACTTTTAAAATATATTTAAAATAAATGTACACTTAAGATTTTTTTAAAATCAACCATTTTTGCATAACTAATAATGATCAGAAATAACTAAAATATCAAAAAGAAATATTCTACAACCCTCCAAAACTGAGCTAAATCTCTAGATTGTCTCTTGTGCAGTTTTACTGAAAAGGGACATTTTTAAAAAAAAACTGTCTAAAAGTGTTTGGTGTAATTATGTAAGAAATACATTTTAGATATGTCCCCAACAATTTTTAGAACTGTATTCATACAGGCAAGATTTTGTATTTTATATAACTTTAAAAGAATATATACATTGTTTCTAGCTATTAAAAAGTATATTTTAACTAAACTTGAAAATGTACAAAATTGATAGGTGATGTCTTAAATTTTGTGCCTATTTCAGAATTGGGTAAAAGTAAAAGAAAGCTGCATGCAGATGTATAACTATGATTTATCAGAACTAACCAATGGTAAAATATACATTTTTAGTGACTTTAAAAAAAATTAACCCTACAATGTTCACTGTATTTATAAAAAGAATACTGCAAAATGAAAATGTGTGTATCTAACTAATAAATTGATAGCATTAAAACATAATTTAATGGAATTGTTGCCATTTGCATTAGAAAAGCTGAAATGTTCAGTCAAATTTAACAAAGAGCCAGATATGAACAGCACAGGGTGGTCAAAAAAGCATTTGAATGCCAAAACTATGCACCATTTAGCATGATAAACAGGCTTATAGGACTGAATATTCCAAAAGTAATAGATTATATTTTGATTTTATAGATTACACCATTTCTCTTTTTTAACACTTAAATGTAATGCATCATTCATTGTATTCGCCCATATATGACATACACTAACATTAGTAAGAGATTATTTTAGCTTTGAACATTTGGAAATATGTTCAGCCATTGTAAGTAGGTATTTATGCTCATTTTAAATGCAAAAAGTAAAAAAATTGAAGGATGGCATTTTCAAATTAATTACAGAATTAAAAGTAGAAGATTTAGGACTTCACATTTCAATATTTTAAAAACTTTATAAGCAGTATTAAGACACAAAGCTATAAGTCAATGGAAAGGCAAGATCACCTGTGAAATTAAACAAGTTTTGTCACATAGGTAGAGCCTTCACTTCATGAAAACTGAGACAGTAAAAGTTGTTAAAAATGGAAGCAAAACAATAAACACAAGCTATTGAATTTATACCAGAACTAAAATACCTCATTAAGTAGTAATGTTCAATTATGAAAGAACTAACAGCATACTTTTACTATTGAAAAAAAAACACTAGATACTTTAAAACAAAATTATTTTTTAAATTATCTAGAGCATCAAAAATGATTAATTAAAAAAATAAGGATTAGTAGGTGAAATAATGTTTATAAAATAACATTTTTTAATAATTTACACTTTATGCACCTTAACCCATTTCATTTACTAATGAAATGGAGATTCATTATTATGGCACAAAAATGCAAAAATTTCTTAAGTATAATACATTTATATTTACTTAACCCTGTAAATTAAGTAAAACTATTAGAGATACAATAAAACTAAATAGATAAAAGAACCAATGACACTCTAAAATGTTATAAAAAATGATGTAGTTTTAAAAATTCCTGTTCCTATTGCCACTTTAGTAGTTAAGTTCCTATCTAGCAAATTGTTTCTTCACGTCTAAACTGCATAAGCAGATAAGTTGCCTTAGAGAAATAAAAATAAAAATGTTAGTTATAAAAAAAATTGTATAATTTTAAAGCTGTAAGAAAGAGAAAGATAGTTACAAAATAGCATACTTGTGTATTTTCTATTAGTGATGCAGTTCAAGTAAGAAAAAACTGGTTTCTTCAACTACAAGTATAATCTACAAATCAATTACTACAAAGTTTCTCCACTAATAATACCACCTTGAAAGATGGAGCACTTAATTATGCAAAACTTGATTGGGAGAGGAGTGTTTTTTAAAAAAATTCTACATATTTACAAATGAGGCAGGAAAACTTATTAAAAAGTTATTATAAAACTTTAAAAACTAGCTTTTAAAATCTCCAATAGATCTAGCACTAGTTTAACATAAAATGAAGGTTCATTTTTATTCTCCCACTACAATATATATTTATAAAATAAAGCATTTTAGAGAATTGGTGGGGGGATAGGTTAAAGAATTTTTTTTTGGAATCAGAGGTCATCACACTCATACTTTACTATTGGTAAAATATTGAGAACACAAATAGTCTTCTTGCATTGTGCACACTGTGTACATGTAACAGTTTCAGTTGAACATTAACAAAATGCTGAAGTAATCTTATGTTTTTTAAATGAAGTCATTCAAGTTTTCTATCACAGGCACATATGTGAATTGTTTGAATTTTTTTTTTTTATATTTAACAGGACAGCAGTAGCAGAAGGGTACATTTTGGCTTAAGGTGATTCTTGTAAATTTATGTTATATATCTATTTTGAGAATTAAAGCTCCTAACAGATTTTCAGCTAAAAACAATTAGCAGTGGTTTTAAACATTTTCATACTGACTCTATGTTTAAAACTGTCAACAATCTGGAAAGGCTGATAGGAATAACATTTCAAAGAATGTGACTACACTTTTTTAAATGATAGTACTGTAGTAACGACTATGTTCATCCAAGATTCATTTGCTAGCATTTTCAAGATTTTTTTTTAGTACAGAAAACTGATCAGAAAAATAGGCTAAAAGTTGCAAATAAGTAAATCTATTAAATTCAGAGTCTAAAATTATGTTATTGACCTTTTCAAATGAATATTTTAAGTGACAAAATATACAAATGTTTTTCCAAAAATGAGTGTTATATTCTCTGTGATAAATGCTCAGAAATGTTTCTTATGACCAGATTTGGTGTTTTTTTTCTCAAGCTTTCAGCCTCTGGGCATTCTTTTTGTAATTATGAATTTGAGGGGCAATGATTTTTATTGTAATATTTTCCTTAATAAATAAATCAGAAAAATATTTGAATAAATTACTGTATGTTAATTTACACATAAAACTAGTAAATAGAAAACTGTGGTAATAGTGCACACAAAAAATCCCAACCCTTAATAGTCTATAATGACTTTCCAAGAAGTTAGACATTGAAAAAAAATATTTGGGAGCACTGGAACTCTTTTAATGTTTATACTTCTACAGGTTAACACATTGAACATAAATGTGTAGGCACTCAAATTGAAGTCCAACATGCAAAGCTAAAAAAAATGCAATAAAAACAATTTTTCTGTTTCACATAAAATTTAATTTTTAAATATTTTATTATGTATATCCAAAAATGAGAAGAAAAGAATCTACTTGCATGGAAAAACTTTCTTCTCTCTTTTAAATTTTTAACTGACAGCAATTAACTATAAAATCAGTAATCCTGAAAGCCCTCTAATTCTGACTTAATTATGATAAGTTTTAAAAAGAATCACTGGTATATTTGTTTAAAAACAGTTTCAAAAACTAAAATCTAGAATTCCTAGATCCAAATTTTTGGTGTTATTGAATACTCTCGACCTCTCCAGCAACATTTTTTCTGTTAGGATCTGCCTGAACAGTAAAACCCAGAATGCTGACATCTAATTTTTGCATCTTTTGTTTCTTTTTTCGATTCTTGCCCTTGCCAGAGTTTGCTTCATTTCCTTCATTTGCTGCACTGGTGGTGGCATTTACACTCCCTCGCATTTGATTGTGAGGATTAATTGCTGGTGCTGGGCCCCAAATGCTATCCTGTTTTTATTGATGAGAGAAAAAAACAATGTTCAGAACGGTTAAAAAAAATTTTTTTACTTAAAAGAGAATGGATAGTGTGATTTAGACATCACTAAACTGTTTAATTGTTATCAATCTACTACAAGTACTGCAAGATGTCTATAAAGAAAGATATTTTGACAAACAAATTTAACTAACTTTAGCTTAATATTTAAAATAAGGAAAAATTTAAAGCGATGTAGTATATATGCTCATGTGTTTTTAATATTATACTTTTAATAACTATTTCAACTGCACCATTTTAGCTCACTTTTCTTTAGGAAAAATGTAAATTAAAATTCAATGGATTATCTTAAAGAAACAAATGCACTAAACTCAACTAAAATATTTTAGGAATAGTGTATAAAGTACTTTTAACACTACTTTTACCTCTTCTTGTTGTTTCTCAATACGAACTTGATTTCGTATGCGATTCCTTCTTTCTAGAAACTGTTTGGCAAATTCTTTAGAATCTTTTGTTTCACCAAGATAAGTATTGATATAATCTCGCACCTGTAGAAAAAAATAATTTCAGAGTGAATATTTTAAATCAATAAAATCAATAAATTAAACAAAAGCTGACAATATTCTTAAATATTTCTTACCTCATCTGGACTATCCACATCTACAATGAAAGACACAAATGTGGGCTCTGTAAAAAAAAAAAAAGCAAAAAACATTACATTTATAAAATGCAAATAAGGATCCATGTTTAAACTGTTACCATCAAGTGTTTTATTACAAATATTTCTATTATACTTTACAAAGGGAAGTATAGCATACTTGTCGGTTCATTATTTGTAAGGAAATTAAATGTATATAATAAACAATAGAAAATAACTGACCATCTATGCGAGCAGAGAATTGTGAGACACGCTCAGTAACCCACAGAGTAAAATCGTCTTGCTGCCTGTTTTGAAAGAGCTTTTGAACACTTTCCTAAAGCAAGTAAAGGTAAATTAGTTTTTTTAAATTTGTTTTTATTCAATTGTGTATAAATAAAGTTAATATGAAATTAACAAATTCTCAACCAGATAAAATAAAATGTGTATTAATACCTCCTCTTTTTTCTGCTTTGATCCAGGTGCTTTTGCCTTAAAGACTTTAGTTGTGCTTGCAACTGTTCCCTTTTTAGCTTGTTGAGCTTGAGGTTTTAATGCTGGAAACTCTCCACTAAACAAAAGAAAATCACAATTCTCAATCAAATAAAGATAAAATACATGAATGTGTCTTAATATTTAAATTCTCATTTAATGATAAAATGGAAGGTATCACTGATACAAAAAATGCATGTAGTTCACTTAGAGCTACTTAAAACAGGAAATAGAATATAAATCAATGTTTATTCACCTCTCTTTGACAATAGGTTTTTTGACTGATGGTATGGCTACTGAATCCCAAAAACCGGCATTGCTGGAAGTACTATTCCACACTTGGTTGCTATTACCCCAGGTTCCTCCTGATGTTGTTCCAGTCCATGTGGATGCACTGGCCAAGGAAAGCTGTCAAAAAATTAGTTAAATAATAGTATGATTAAATTATATATATTTAAAGATGCTTTACAATATTTGATAAAATAATTTGAAAAGAAAATCACAATGGCAAGATTGATTTTTCATCACAACTGTGTTAGCAACTTGAAAAGATAAACTAAATCCTGCTTGTTTATGATGAATAAGTAGGTAAATGCACAGCAAATTTGAATAATAATTAAAAATTTTAATAAGGCCTTACTTTAGCAGTATATGTTTGAGTATTAGGTTTTTCTTTCTGAGACTTTTTAGCATTTTCTGCTTCTTGTTGTTGAATGTCTAACAAAGATAAACCTTTATTTGGAAGCCCCTGACATCTGAAACAAAACAAAGTTTTGTCCCATAAGTTGCTCATTAATTAAAATAGAATTTAAGAAAATTGTCTTATAGGCCAAATTTTTAGCTGATTTGAAGTGCTTGTTCAATGGACAAGGATGTGAAAAGAAGATGATGAAAGAAATGTAAATTAGTACCAGTCTCACAGCACTTTGTGCAGCTTTAATGTTATGTAAGGAAGCACTTACATCAGTATTGAGTTTTTATAGCAATTATCTTAAATGAAACAAGCTTCTGTAATTCTTAAAAAAAAAAGTATTTTTAATTGTAAGGTAGCCTACTTACGCATGTGTTGCCCATGACTTCTGGGCATGTTGTTGGTGAATTAAATTAGCTTGTTCTTGCATTCGTTGCATCTGTTGTAGCTGCTGTGAATTTTTAAAAGAATATTCTTTTCTTACAAAACACTTGTTAATCTCAGGATAATTTTAATAAGCTTTTACCATTTTAGACCATAATTCTTTTCCACATTTTTTTCTCTGTTGTAAAACATTGTCAAATAATAAAATAATTTTTTTTTAAAACTATGCATCACTATCATGGATATTTTGCATGAACTATGATAAACAATCAAAGACATTTTCACATATTAAAAAAATGTTAACATAATAATCTGAGTGTACAGCCAGTGTAGCAACATATAATAACCAGTGGCAAAAGTTAAAGAGAGCTACCAGGTGAAATGTAAAAAGTATCAAATAGTGAAATTCACCTCTCTTTGTCTTTCCTGTTCCTTCCTCGCCTCTTCTTCCTGGATTTCTGTTAAGGATTTGGACTGACTGGGGGAAGCTTGTACACTATGTTGTTGAGCTGCCCAGTTTGTTGAGGGGGGAAGCTAAAAATATGGGAAAAAATTAAGTATTTTAAAGACTTTTTATTCCTGCAAACTTTAAAGCCAAAATCACAAAAGTAACTAACTTTGTTTAATATAAATTATATCTCACCTGAATATTGGCCAGCTGTTCTCTCTGTGCTTGCTGTAAGCGCCTTAAAGATTCCTGTTGCCTTGCCATTTCAAGATGCTTAAAAAATGTATCTTTAATTTATATATGATCAGAACATTCTCTGTAATCATTATTAATACTATTGTGACATACAATTAACATGATTTTGTCAAAAAATGAGGCTTTGTTTCTGCAGCAAGTATAAATTGTAAATAAATAAATTTGATTTTAAAACCCTAAATCTTTTTAAACACTACGTATCTTAATTTAAATACCTGTTTCTTATGTGCTTCTTGTCTTTCTCTTTCAACAGCTTCTCTTCTTTCCTCCTCTTCTTGTTTCTGTAGTTCCATCTGTTGAAGCTCCTGTTGTCTCCTAAACTCCCTCTCAAGTTGAATTTCTTGTTGTCTTAACAATTCTTCCTCTTCTAGCTTTCTCCTGGATTGGAAAAAAAAAAATCAATTCTAGCTGAAGATTTTTTCATGTTAGATTGAGTGTATAATGTTATACAATAAGGTTGTAACATCAACAAGAAAAATTATTTTAAAGTAAAAATATAGTGCTAAATGGACAAGGGGCAAAAGCAAATGACAAGTCAGATTTGAATGGTAGACAATAAGCAATAAATAGGCTGATAATGCTGACAGTTTGTATAACAAAGTTAAAGAAGTTCCATGAAATCCAATTAACTTTCTTACCTTAATTCTTCTTGTTGTCTCTTAATTTCCTCCTGGCTGCGCTTTTCATCCTCTTTTCTTCGTTTTTCTTCCTGTTTCTTTAGCTCTTTTTCTCTCTTTCTTTCTTCTTCTTGTTGTTTTTTGGCTATTTCCTGTCTTCTTTTTTCTTCTTCCAACTGTTCTTGTTGCTGTCTCTCAATTTCAAGACGTATTCTCTCTTCTTCCAAACGCCTTGCTTCTTCAATTTTCTGTTGATGCATTTCCAAGTACTAAAATTATCCTTCTTTATTTCATTACAAATAATAAATTTCATCTATTTAAATGTATATTCGTTTTACCTGTATTTCAAGCTGTTTTTGTTTTTCCAGTTCTATTTTCTCCATTTTCATTAATTCTCTTTGCCTTTCTATTTCTTCTTGCTGTCTTCTTAACTCTTCTTGTCTCTTTTCTAATTCTTCCTCACGAATTCTTTCTTCTTCTTTTAATCTCTCTTCTTCTCTTTCCTAATTGAATAAGCATATGTAAATTCAAATAAGAAAGAAAGTTGGTGAAGCCTATTTTTTTTAAATCAGCTAAATACTTGTTTCAACAATGAAAAGAAAATTATTATCAGAAACAAGTGTTGATAAATAAGATATTCTAATGTGGGAAAATTTTCGCTTTAGTAATAAAAATGATTAAAACTGTGTCAAATTGCCTGATGAATACCTAACACTGAAATAATAAAGCCATACCCTTTTGAGCTTTTCTATCTGAGCCCTGTAAGCTGGTGATACTGTTCCACTATTGTTGTCAACATCCCAAAGTGATGTTGGTTGTGTTACTGGTTGAGTAGCTGGAAGTGACCACATACCTATTGTCAAATGATAAGAATAATGAAGAATTTAATCCTGCTTCTGAACCATAAAATCACTTAAAATTGAAACAATGTAAACTTTTATTAACAATATACCTGGAATAAGAGGTTGCATAGCTCCTCCCCACATGGGTACATCTCCACCACTATTTGCTGTGGTTATAGTGTTAGGTTGCGACTGTTGAAAGACTGATGGGTTACCTTCAACTGATCTATAACAATCACAAAAATGTACTGATGAAACAATTACATACAACTAGTTAACTTACAACAATCAAATAATCATTAGAATTAAATGTAAAAAGCACTCCAATAACTTTAATGTATCCAAACATTAATTATCATGTTATGATGCATTAATTTCAACTCAACAATGAAATATGTTTCACACTTGATTAAAATTATTGAGGACAAAACAAATATGGGCAAAAGTTCACCAAAAATGTGTATTAAATTCATCTACATTTTGAAAAAAACATGAATAAATGTCAAGCATTCTGTATTAACAATGCACTGACTGTGTTGAAGATCTTTGGTGTTCTTGTTGTTGAAGGATCAACTGCTGCTGTTGCAATTGCTGTAAAAACAAAGGGTTGGCCTGCATCATCAACTGCAGTGAAATTTGTTGTTGTTGCTGCTCTGGTGGGAGAGCTTTAAAGTTTTCTTGTAACTGCCATTGTCTGAGAAAGAAAAAAAACATTTTCATACCAAAAAATGCTTTGAACAAAACAGGAACAATTAACTATTTAATTAAGATTATTTGATGTTACATGTATAGAAATACACTTTTTAAGAGTAAGGAGAAAAAAAGCTATTTTTGTTTAGAAGTTAGTAAACTGAATAAGATGTCACCACCAAAAAGATTTAAGAATGATTCCACTACGCTCATCTTGAGTCAAGTCACACAAAATGGGGTGATGTATAAGCTTTCAAGAATGTAGGTGATGTAGGGGCACATGTATATGTGAGCCATAAGAGTGAATGGGATGGGAAACTTGCCACAAAGATAAGATCAAACTTTTATTAGTAATTGAAGGGCTCAGTGGAAAAAGTACCTAAGTGTATTTTGAGAGTTTTGAGAAAAATGAGTGCAAAGTTTTTAAATTGAAGCTAAAATACCAAAACAGCTGATGCAAAGTATTCGAATTAAGCTACTTGGACTATGTTTCCATGGCCCAAATTTACAGGGATGGTTTAGGGGAGGTAAACAAATAATATACCGGTCTTAACTCATTTTTGAAAAAATGTAACGTAAGTACTTTTTCCACTGAGCCCTTCAATTTATAAGATAAAAATTAGTTAAAATATTTAAAAATTTCTTACCTTAAGTATGACTGTTTTAAATATTCTTGCTGTATTAACATTTGTTGAATAATTGCAGGGTCGTGAACACCTGATAATGGTGGACCTATTATTGGGGCTGCCATTGGGGAGATAAGTGATGGCATTGTGAGGGGTGGCGTGGATGATAAACTAACTTCTGGCTGGATGTTACTGGTCTGGTGACAGAAAAATGTTTAATTCCTTTAAAGATAAGTTAGGCACTTTATTGAGGATGTGAAAAAAATCAATACAATAAACTAAGTTCTAGTTCTCTATTTCATTTAATGAGTAATTAAATGATTTAAGATAATTCTTATTCTAACCCCGTCTTAAACTGTTAATTATTCAGTACTTACAATTAATGGTGGCAAAGGTGGCCCAGGGAGGAATGGAACTCTTCCATACCTTTTGATAAGCTCTCCTGTAATGCAATTTTTTTTAAAATCTCTTGAAGGGGAATGGGGAGTGAATACAAAAAATTGTGCACTTACAATTTTAAGGGATTATATAAAAATTTGATTAACTATTTTACGCCACATATTGGACTGATATTGCCAGATGCCATATAGGGCCTTCTAAAGTTTTGTGTATTAAACAATTTATAATCAACTAATAAAAAATCAGTAGTTTGACATACCAAGCTGTTTATAAGTATCATCACATCCTCGCTTGACAACTAAACTCATAGTGAAATAACCAGCACTGAACCACTGTGACATTTCTTCATTACTGAATGGACCTAGAAAAATATAATTTTATTTGGCTATTAGCTATTCCAACCTTTAAAAAATCATTTAAGTTTGATTAAATGTGAAATTTTCAAATATTATCAGATAAACGAATCACTAATTTTACATTTGTACACAAACCTTGTACTTCCCCTTGTGGATCTTTATAAAACCACTTATTGGCATCTTCATGTGAAAGAGGTAAAGCTGACTGTGTTACATCAATGCTTCTAGCTCTTCTATCCTAAAATTTAAAAAAAGAATTCTTTATTGAAATAAAGTTTCATTTAACAAAACAGCTTGTTGAAATGCATGCCACAGAGCAAGAGACTCTAAAATCAAATGAATTTTAAAAAATGATGCATTTACACTTACAGCATCTGCTGTCATTTCTGCAACTAAACTCTGTAAAGATTTTTCCATATGCAATATTTCCTGATCAGCATGTCTAAACTGTGTTTCTTGTTCAGATGACTGACTAGAAGTCTGTGGTTGTGATGTGGGGACTGATGTGTTTGTATACTGACCAGGGGGAGCGCGGGTTCCATTTATGTCTTCTTTGTTAGGGAAAGCAAATCCTGAATCTCCATCACCTAGCAAGTAGCATTAAAAATAAGAATTACTTTTATTATATAGAATTCTCCCTTAAATACAAATGTGTAATTAGTATGCAGTTTTAACCAACTAACCAACCTTTGTTTGAATGACTGCTGCCAATGGACACAGGAGGAGCTTCAAATGATTCTGTATTGTCTTTAGAAGTTAAGGACTGTGGCCTAGAGATTTCTACAGGATTATTAGCATCTCCTGTCCCATTACGAGCAGCTGGAGGAACATATACAGATTTATTTTTAACTAATGTTGAACCTTTATCAGTGATATTTGTCTGTGGTGGGTCATTACTGTCTGTGGTTTCCTCTTGTGATCGGGATGTAGATTTCTTCTGAGGAATAGTACCAATATATAGTAAACTTGCTTGTTTTGTTTATAATAATAAAAGTAAACTTATTTCAGTTCTCCCCTAGTCTTACCATTCTATTTTCTTCAGTATTGGAATCACTTCTTCTTAGATCAGCAACTTGCTTGCCCTGTACAAAGACATTAATATCTGAGACACACTTTACAAAAACAAGTGACTAAAAGCTCTAGACTTATTTTCAAGAAATTGAAATTGCTAAGATTTTAGTTTAACTCACTTCTTTAGTGGATACAAAAGCTCCACTGGAATCAAAAGTTCCAGGATCATCTCCAACATCATCTTCTACCCACTCTGGGACTTCACCTGAAAAAAATTAGTTACATATAAATATTAACTTTTCAGTAACAACACTCTTAAAAGCATTGCAGTTTTACAATAAATAAGTAATCAAATTTTTAAAAGTTGTATTTATTTTTAAAAATTTACAAAACCAGTTAGGGTGTCCAGATTTATATATTTCCATGAACTGGTTATTTTACCTTCATTTTCATAATTATCATTTATCCTGTGTGGCCCTCTGTGGTCTTGTTCAAAAGTTCGATGAGGAAGTGGTTGTCTTCTGTCACCGTCAAACCCGCTATTATCTCTCTGAGGATCTCGCCAATTAGTGGAACGTGTTGAAGGACCTAATAATATATAATCACATAGCTAACACAAATCCAAACTAAGTTATACATCAAATAAAAACAGACTGCATATATAAAGAAAGTTAATCATTCAATTCAATTATAGATTGAGAAAATTAACAAGTATTAACAATTAGCTGTCTATTAACTGCCACAGCTTACCCCATCTAGTATTATCACGATTATTTCTCCACCCCACTCCCCCAGTCTCCTCTTCATCTTCTTCTTCATTCCTTTTATCTCTCCAATTATCACTGGTAGACCGAGTGAACTCACGCTTAGTTACACCTGCCTCATCATAACCTCTAGAATAACTCCGCTCAAATTTTCTGTTGCTGTAAATTATTACAATGGTTTGGAAATGTATTATATTTAACAAAAAGTAAATTTTATATCACTCTTAATAAAGTTTTATTTGTTTAAGTACTTAAAGGCTAATATGCTTACACTTGTTCCCAGCCATCTTGAGTTGATCGACTGTAGTCACCATTTTCTGATCTCGGTACGTAGCCCTCCCCCCGACCACGTCCTATAAAACAAAAGATGAAGTTAGAAGACATGTAAATTTGTAGGATACAGCTCAAATATAGAAGTAGATACAGAACTAAATACTCCTACAGCCAAGCAAATATTACCTCTCCCCCTGCCTCTGTCAGATATCCCCCCACCTCTGTTTGGACGAAGTGGAGGGCCTGTGCCGCGACCAGCAGCTCTGAGTACCACAGTGCTATTAAAACCTTGTGAGATCAATCGCTGAAAATAAGAATTTTAAGCAATGTTGCAATAAAATAAAATGAAAAAATGTCAGGAAATTTATCAAAAAATCATTTTTCATACAGTTTATTGACATATTCATACGTAAGCTACCTGTTCATCTTCTGTTAGAGGCAACATGGTTATAGGCTTTTGAATTTCTTTGGAGAAAATTGACAGGTGTTTCCGGACTTGGTCGGGGGGAGGGCTATTTTCATTGAACAGCGCCAGCATCTCTTCTCTACCATAGCGATAATCTGCTAATTTAAACTTGACAGCTGAAGTTGGTGTGGGGGGCTGGGAACCCGTGGTCCCACCATCTGACAAATCACGCAACCTGAAAATTTTGATTAAAAGAAGATCAACAGATTTTTTAATTTCTGGTCTATTTTCCTGACATGCTTTAATTAAACAGTGTTAATGTAATGGCATTCTTTTATGCTTTTATAGTGAAGAAGAGTTTTTGGACCATCAAGTTTATACAAAACTACAGACTTTTTGGAAGAATAATAAGTTATCATCCAATAGCGGCATTCTCAAAAGTTAATTAGCAATTGGTAAAATAAAACAAAAGAAGCTAAACTTTAAACTATAAATTGTATAGTAAAACTAAACATGTTTGTTGATAAACAATGTCACGTTTATTTTTTACCATTATTACGCAGAAACCCAGAACACAACCTAAAATTTGTCACACTTCTGCCTACTACTCCCTTTAAAACAACTTTTTTAAAACAACTATTTCTTTCTAAAAATATTTACTAGGCTCTTCCAACATTTATATCAATCAATTTTTAAAAACAATTTACAAAAAGAAAGTCTATTGTGAGATTTAACAATGACTAAAACTCAGATTCCAACTTTACTTTTTAAAATGCAAAAGTGTAACACTTTCTGAACTCTCCCCTTGCCAATGAAGTATGAACCCCCTCCCTCCTTAACTCACTAATACTTTTTACTTTATAAAAGTAGCTATCATCATTCAATTAATCTGGACAAAATAATTATGATTTTTTTTAATACATACAAGTAATCCTCTAATTTATACTTTAAAGTTACAATTATAAAGAACTATTTCTTAACAATATAACCTTTAAACTTCATAAGCAAGTAAGCAATACCTATAAATTATTTCATAAAAGTTTATTTCTTTTAACACTTCAAGACTTCACTGCCTTTTTTTAACTAATGATAATTAAAAGTGTTATTCAGAAAATAATTTGAAATGGTTAAAAATCATTTTGTGAACAATTAATTAAGTATCTGTAAGTTTTTTATTTTTTTTTATTTTATCATCATTAAGTTTTAAATTAATTACTTTATGATTAAACACTAAAAGAATATAATACATGTGGCTTACCACTTTGTAATTAACTATGATTAAATTATTAATAAACATAATATTTATGGCTTACCACTGTGGACCAAACTTTAACGCCATTTTATTTCTCTTTGAATATTTTAACTGGACTGCACAGTCAATACAAGCAACTGAGACTTGAGGATTGAAAACACTGCAGTAAAATTATAGAACATTGTTAATAATCAACAATTTAAGTTGCCACTGTGCAACACAATATAAAATCTTCATGACGACTACTAATAAAAATAGTGTTTATGTGCATCAAAAGGAAAAAAGTTGAGCTTTTTTTTTTTATAAAACTTGAAGTCTGCATACTTGTAACAAAAATCATATTTATAAGGATATCTCAAAATATACATATAACTGCATGTCCTAGAAAAAAGTTGGACTAAAAAATTTCAGTAAAGTAGATACAAACACCAACACATAATAGTTAAGCAATCAGATAAATAAACTAGACTAAGAAATTTGAAACTTAAATTACTGTTATTAGTTTTCTTAACTGTTTGTGTTGGTTAAAGCCCAATGGGTGAAATAACGGTATACTAAAATAAAATTATTCAAAAGTAAGGGAATATTCTCTAAAGTGGTGGCCCAAATCAAACGGACAATGGCATTGACCATGTGTGTAGGCCTATTAATATTGTTGTCAAAAAATTGAATTTTTTAAATGTGTCTACATTTCTATTTATTGTTGCATACCAGACTTTTAGTTTGACATTTTTTGGAAATATCAATATCAGTGTTGAAATACCAACTTTGATTATGCTTTCAATTTCATTTAGACAGCAGTCAATTCTGTACTATAAACCTCAGTTCACTTTCAGTAAATGTTTATAGATACTATTAAACACAAGCATGACCTAGTTCAGGCTAGTTTGTTTACATTTAACATTACTTTGTGGTGATAAGAAAAATGGTATTTTATTGCAACTATTGTTAACTAGAATACATCACAAAGAAAAGAAAAATATGGCTTCTCAGAGCATTAAAGTATTTCTATAAAATATATAGGGACAGCAAAACAACAAAATGTTAAAATAGGTCTAGTTGTAGGCTACAGAGTAGGCCAATATATATTTTATTTCTAGATGATTTTTTATTTTTCTAATTTGCCAGTTCATTTTTTACATTTTAACCATGCTGTGTATAGTTAAAATAAGAAAAACATAAAACATTCATGGTTAATGCACTTGTTTTGTAGAAAACTTTCCTTCTACTACATCTAAAAAAATCCATGAAACAAAAAAGTCTTGTAAATTGTGTCTCAAAATTCTGGGGTAGCACTATGTGTTGCCACTTCGCACTTGTATTTTGACAAAACCCTCAGAAAAGCCCTTTGGGTTTTGAAATTTAGACAATTTTCTTAGAAAAATTTATAAGAAATTAAGAATAGATTCAGTGATCAGTTTCCCTTTCAAACCTGACGGTCTATGGGGCAAGTGAAGTAGAGTTCACTTGTTTCTGTGACCTCGGCATATGAAGAGATAGTGTGGTCAAGACTATGCCCAGCCGCCTTTACTTTCCCTAACAGGAGTTAGGTACCCATCAGAGTTGGGTGGACTCAGGGACGGTCTACTGACTTGAACTCGGATTCGAACTCGAGACTAATGGGTTAGCAGTCCAGCTCTTTACCGCTAGACCACTCCGTCCCACGGAGATTAGACAGGCTTTATCATATGTTGGTCTACATTCACAGCTTTGTTTAGAAGTTATTTGATTTTAAATTCATTTTAACACGAGAATACACAGAGCTACTTTCACTAAAGCATCCCTTGCTAGATAAAGAAATAAGGTCAAAAGTACACCTAACAATTCTTAATTAACAGAGTTGAATAGAAATGGTTAGTTTAGATTTCTCAAATTGACAATGGCTTCAAACTCATTAGTTTTATCCCTCTAACACTTAATGAAGATGAAACATGCCGCCATCTTAGCAATGCTTAGGCCGAGAGGTGAACTGAACAGCCTGATTACTTCTCATTCGAATTTTTTATAGGCCTAGATATATTTTATAAAATGTTAATTTTTGTTTCTCACTTGCTTCATTTTATATAGAGCAGGAAACAGATTTGTACAGCAAAATGCATATTCGATCATCGTCGTTGATAATCTTAATCCTACATTGTTTGGTGATTTTGTTGATATTAATAGATAGAACAATATCGTTGAATGCTTCGAGGGCAATATTTTTGCCGAATTTGTTATTACCGATCTTTTATGCATATGAAAAGGACGCAAAGTATGAAAATCATGACGGAAGGGATCACTTGGGTTTACATGTACTTTTAAAATAAGCTAAGGAACAATTTTTTTTATAATTGGATTGCTTTACATTAAGGAATGAATGCTGTAATTTATAAATGTAAAAAAAGTTTTTTCAATATTTTAACTTTTATATGGAAAAAAAATCTGCATAGAATTACACTACTTCAGCATTGTGGAAAATGCATTTTTTTTTTATTTCGAGAAAAAAAATGTATATTGTTTTGGTAAAAATCAATTTAAATTTGTAAAAGAAATGGGTTTTTTTTGCCAAAGGTATAATTTTTTTTTAATTTTAGGTTTTTTTCTGTCGTGGCGAATCAATTTTTGCTCTATTCACCCACATGTTGTTAAACTAGGTTAAAACTAGATTTATCATTAATACAAGAGAACTGCGATTAGCAAAGTTTTTAAATTTAAGTTTACTTGTGACTTTAACCCATTTGTTTTAACCCTTTATCTACTGACGGTACTAATAAGTACCACTTTGATTAAGCTCCTGTATTATTTTTTAAATTATTCTTATAATTAATAGTATCTCCCTTGAGTCACTAAGGAATAAAGAAGTAGGACATGTCAACACATTTTTCTGTGTTAGGTACGTTCAGAAGATGGTCTAAGATGTGCTCCCATAGAAAATGCAGTCTAAAAACATACTCAAAAAATACTTTTGTGTTGTGTTTATGAGTGAAAATTATAAAATGATTATAATGATTGCCATGTTATTAGTTAATAAATTTTACAGTTTATCCTGTTTTGTAAATATTTTTTTTTGAAAAAAATGTCCTACATTCCTGCAGGTACTTGTAAGTACAAATCTATATTTGGCCATTAAAAATTAAAAAAACTGTTTTTTCGACGAATGCTCTAAGTGTGCTAAAAGCAATACAATTCAATAACACATTGTTTAAGACATTTCATTCAGAACTTAATTCTGTAAATAAAGGGTTACTAATTTTAACTTTGGTAAACCAAATCGTCTTATTTTATTAGATCTACATCTAGATCTAGTTGTCGCTAATCTTCTGCAAGTTTTTTTTTCTGTGTTTCTTAAAAAAACATTAATTGGGCCAGCTACATTCAACTTTAGGCCTATGAATATTTAGATTTAATAAAAATTAAAAATTAATAATGGTTGTTAATCTTCTGTCAATTAAACTTTAAATTAAGTTAAAACATTAATTTAATGCACTTGACTTATTTTTATTTCAACCGTCAAAAAACTATGGTCATGGTTTACTGTAAAGAATGTTACCGAAACTCAACAAACATTACCAGATAATTTCCGACGCTATATCTTGAGATTACCCTATTTTCTACTCACTAAAAAAAATTGGATTTTTTTAAGCAAAATGAAAATATGAAGATCTTAAGACTTTTATTTAAGAGTTCTACTAAAACTAGACTAGACTTCACTAGTCACTAGACAGATCTAATAAATTAAATAAATAGAACTTAGAAGGCTAATAAATAATAAAAAATCCAATATTAAAATTAGGCCTAGAACCTAGAATGCTAGATCTAAATTATGATTTAGCCTTTGTGATAGCAGATAGATCTAAATCTAGATCTAGATCTAGATTAGATCTAGAATCTACCTACTCGGACACTCAGCAGAGGAGATAGGGCCTACAAATTTTCAGAAATACAAAATTGAGGATTCGATGTGGGAACAGCTGCTTCATTAAAAATACTAACGTGGCCTATAAAATAATGTTCAATATTAATAATTTGAGTTCTATGGACAATGCAAAAACATAATTAATTGGTTTTAAAACTTATAACTGAGTTGCTGTCAAAAAGCGTCGCAAATTACCCTGGGCAACTTTACCAACACGACAGCTCACATCAAAGATGGCCGATAGACCTTAAAAGCAATAGTAATGTAAACCCTTAAATAAATATACGGGTATTTATAATACCTAAATCCAAGTGAACTTCCACAATAGATTTAGATTTAATCTACATTTTTATTTTCTGTACAGTTTAATAAAATGTATTTTAAAATATTTAGCAAAATGTTCTTTTTTTTATTTCCTCTAAGTTTTTTTGACACAATGGTTCGTTTTATATTAAGTTTTATTAATTTAACATTGTTTACGGTAAAACAAATAGCTTTAAAACCTGGTTTGGAAATTTTAAATATTATTTTGGAAAATTCGGTCAACTAGACTGATATATTTTAGGCCTTCGTTATATTAAAGATAGTGTTGTTTTTAATAAGACACAATTTTTAAATCATAGCATTAACCCAACCGATTACTTTCTATTTTATTTTTTAAAATGCTTAGGTCAAAACTTTTATATAATTTTTAAAGTTAAAATGTAAACGTTTGACTATTTATATTGCAAGGTCCTGATATTGGGTATTATTTTTATACCGTCCGTCCACGGTATGGGAGGCTAAACATTTGGGGCTTGTTTTTTTTTTTTAATGTAGAATATCGTCACTTTATCCCTTTAAAGAAATGCGTGTATACAGTGGCAATTCGAGAAACGAATTAAATTCGTACGGTAACTTTGCTGGAATATCAAATTGTTCGTATCTCTTAGCAATTTTCTCTAATGGATTTATATAAGATGCAATTCATCCGCTCCAGCCCCTAAAATGCCACCTCACTTGTTTTTTACCACGTATCTCTCATAAGGAAAATATCTGCGGCTGTCTGACTTTGTCCATTATGTATTACTACACCTTTCATCCAATCACCAGGAGTTTTCCCTGAAAAGTTACTACTCAACAAAAAATACAATTTCGGAAAGGCGGCGCCCCGGCAGGGTGCGATGTAATTTTTCTGTATATACTGTAAGTAAAATAAAAGTTGGACGCGGTATGAGGTATGACACCGTTCATCCGAAGCCATAAAGCTTTTGGGAGTTGATGAGAATACTCCTGGCAAAAAAAAAATTAATTAGTCATCCAATTAAGTCAAATGCGATGTCATATTGCATTGTTTTCAAGTCTTGACCCACGTGCGAACTTTGAAACGAACCTGTCAGTAAGGAGTGCCCGAAAATTCGCTCGCCCGTTTCGATCTATGACAACAGGACAGACTGTCGACAGACTGAAGACAGACGGAGGAAGCAAGTTAAATCAAAAGCTTGTAAAAGTTATAAGTTCTTAAGGGCGTCTCCTCAGCAGGATGCTATTTTTCTCACTATTCAGTTTTGCCGTTCAGAGTTTCCAAGCACTTGGTATCCGTTGACTGGGCGTCCTGCATATGGTTTAGTACTAAACTCAGCGGTAAAACTGCACTTGGCGCATCCGCCGGCGGTTGAGTGACCCGAAAGCGCCCCTGGCTCTCCCGTAAGAACTACGGCGCCTACGTTCTTTTTGATAGCACACAATGGGCCACAATAATAGTTGACTAAATCAAATTAGGCGCGTCTTCTAAGCCCCAGCAGGATGCTATTTAAAAGCTCATTTTAAACTGCAGCATTGAATTAACACAGTAAAAAATAAATATTAAAAATTAACAGCTATACGACTTTACATAACGATTTAACCCTCTAGAAACGTGACCGGTAAAAACTGCAAACCGACTTTTTCCAAATTGGAAGTGGGGGGGTGCCCTCTTTTCGGCAACATAGTCGTAAATATTTATACTGGATTGGTGAGTAGATAACTACAAGCCATTTAACACTTAGAAAAGAAGCGAATTGTATGAATGCTTATTCTATAATTGTGTAACATTAGACCAACTTCTACAAACCACAAGCTAAACTATTCTGGTTTTCTTCTTTTTATACCTTTCGGCTCCCTAAAGCATACTCAGGCAAAACTTTGTCAACTAACTTGATTTCGTTAAAAACAAAGTCCCAACAATCCAGCCTACTGCATCGTTCTTTTAAACTATTCCCCATCTCTCTTACAAACTATGCCCTTCATCTTCACGCCAGCGCCTGACTTTCGTCTCTCTTATTTCACCCCCCCCCCCCCTCTATCCCCGGGACATAGACTTCACTTTTAGCTAAAGATCTTGATTTTTTTTCTTTCTTTTTCTTTTTTTTTAACAATGTATTTCCATTGATTTAGAAAGTTAAAAGCATTTTTATTGATGCCGATTTTAATCTGAACGTCTTTGTTGGAATCAATTGCATTAGACTATGATTAGACTGGCTTTTACTGCTTCTTAAGCCAGTACATTCAGAGTTTCTTTCAGGCATCTCTTCGAGGGGGGGGGCGAAATGTCCCCCCCCCCCCCCCGAAAAAAATCTACCGCCCCCCGAACGAAATGAAATTTATATGATTTATATAGAAAATATATACTTTTAACAGTGTCCGCCCCCCCCCCTCCCCGAAGAAAGTCTACCCCCCCCCCCGAAAATTTCAAGTGCCCCCCCCCCCCCTCCGTAGAAAAAAGTCTGGAAGAAACACTGAGTACATGTGTTGTTGCTTACGTGCGAGAAGGCAGAGCACCTCTGCGAAACCCAAACAGTTGTTGGATTCTAGATCGTTTGTTACCTGTAGCTGCAGGGCCGGTGCTACCTGTAATGGATTGACGATAGAAGCGTGTGGTTGTATATAAACGTTTATTGGGTCTAACTACATGATGGTACCAGAAAGAGGAAGGAAGTACAATGCACAAGGGACATCACTCAAGATAACAATATAAATATAATACTAATACAGAAGAGTGAGTTCCCTTGACCTCACAATTATCTCAATCTATTACATCCCTTTACCCTTAGAACACAATAACACATCTCTCAATAGAACAATTGATAGTATCCTAAAATTACCAAATATATTGTAACATGAACATTATGGTAGATTACATCCTTACAAACAATGCACAATATGCTACAACATAATCAAGATACAAAACAATGATGTCAAAGTCCTTTTGACCTTTAAAATCATAGGTCTAACTTATTTGGGACTTTGATTGTCCTGTTTGACCTTCTCAGTGGCTTTTGATTTGGTGACTCAATATTCTGACCATTTGGATTCTCTATCTCAGGAGGTCTAGGATTTAAATCATTAACTCCAGAATTTACATTTTCTGACTCCAGACAACTTGGTTCACTCATATCAACAGAACTTGGTTGTGGAACAAACTGAGTTGGTGTGAACTGTTCAGATTTGGTGGGATTGGCAGATTCACACTTATTATCTGCACAAGTTATTTTTAACTTTATAAGACACAGGTCCTGTACATTGAACAATTTGACCTGGTATCCATTTTTCCCTTCTCCCATGATTTCTTAGATACACATTCTCATTAACACCAAATTCTCTTTCAATGGGTGTTCTGTCATGATTTACTTTTTGAATTGGCATCTGAAAGTATTATGCTGTTATTCAGATCCTTGACTGACATAGATTTCTTTGATTGATCAATTTCCTCAGGTAATCTGATAGTGCTTTTTGGTAACCAAAAATACTGTTTAAAAGTAATATCCTGGACAATATCACTTTGCAACTGTGATCCAGTATTTGAAGTGGGTGTATTAAATGGCAAAAATCTTTTTTCTTTTCTTTTGATGTTACCCTTTTAGTTTCTGTAAGTGCTAATGATGTTAGCAAAGTTGTTTGATGATCACATTCCTTCTTACTAATGTATTTTCTTTAAAAGCATTTGAAATTGTCATATCACCATAATCATTTATTAAGTTATAAATACTTTGTTTAGGCAACTCTGACTGATAATGGACTGCATCTTCTCCATCTTTTATATTATCTTCACAAAGGTTTTCATTTCTTATTTCATATGGCCTTAAGTCATCATTCACAGACTCTTCAGGCCAACCATTCTTACAGTACTCATATACTTTTATTAAGCACTCATCTTTTTGTGTTTCTCTTTTAATATCATTCACATTTATATTGGAGTTATCCATGATAGTGAAGAGAACAAATACTTCTTCTGGTATATAGCTAAGGCTTTGGCTTTTTAAAGGTAATCTACTAAGACTATCTGCACTATTCTCAGATCCAGGTTTGTATTTCAATTCATAATTGTATGCAGTTAGTGTGATAGCCCATCTTTGAATTCTTGGTGAGGCATGCTCAGGTAGGGTTTTGTTTTCTCCAAATAAACCTAGCAATGGTTTATGATCTGTAAAGATGGTGAACTTCCTACCAAACAGAAACTTATGAAATTTCTTAACACCAAAAATGATGCCTAAGCCTTCCCTATCTAACTGAGAATAATTTTTCTCAGCCTGGTTCAAAGATCTACTGGCAAAAGCAATGGGTCTGTCACCCTTCTCATCCATGTGGGACAAGACTGCTCCTACACCATCTGGTGAAGCATCACATGTTAATATAAGTCTTTTCCCTGGGTCATAGTGAGTTAGTAAGGTGTCAGCAGACAAAGCCTCTTTTGCTGTATTAAAAGCAGCTTCTTGTTGTTTACCCCAGTGCCAAGTTGCATTTTTCTGTAGCAGCTTGTACAGTGGTGATAGTTTACCAGACAGATTTCCTATGAACTTTGCATAGTAATTTATCAAGCCCAAAAAAGCTCTTAGTTGTTGGGTATTTTCAGGTTTGGGTGCTTCTTTAATGGCTTTTGTTTTCTCAGGTTGAGGTCTGATGCCTTGTTTGCTCAATATATAACCAAGAAAACTAATTTCTGTCAGCATGAATTGACATTTATCTTTGTTTATCTTTAAACCTTTTTCACCAACAATTTTCAATACTTTATCAAGTGTTTTAAGATGTTCAGTGTCATTCTTACCAGTTATGTACACATTGTCAAAGTACACACAAACATTTGGAATATCCTTAAAAATACTGTCCATGACAGCTTGGAAAATTCCAGGGCTAGATGATATGCCAAAACATAGTCTTTCATATTGGTAGAGTCCTTTATGTGTGTTTATTGTCGTATAGACTTTTGAATCTGGATGCAGTTCTAGTTGAGTGTAAGCATGACTAAAGTCTAATTCAGTGAATTTGTCTCCTCCTGCCAAATTCAAAGAAATTTCCTCAATGTTAGGTATAGGGTACCTATTTAGCTCTATTTGCTTATTCAGTGTGGCTTTGTAGTCTCCACAAATTCTTATAGAACCATCCTTCTTTAACACTGGCACAATGGGCGACGCCCAATCGGAATAGTCTACCTTCTTTATGATGCCATTAGATTCCAATCTACTTAGCTCATTTTCAATTTTATTCCTCATTGCATAAGGTGGAACTCTAGCTTTGCAGTATCTTGGATTTGTATCTTTAATGCTTAACTTCACTGTTCTATCATTTAGTAATCCAGAGTTACCAAAAACACATTTATTTTCAGATATAACTTTATCTAGTGAAGTAAGACTAGATTCTTTTACATTCTTCAATGAACAAATACTCTCCCAATTTAACTTAAGGTCACTTAACCAGTTCCTACCTAGTAATGGTGGTCCATTTCCTTCAACCACAAGAAGAGGAAGTTTAACACTTTGACCATTATAACTTACATGAACCATACACTCTCCTATTACCGGAACATTGTCACCAGTGTATGTTGTTAGACACTTGTGACATGGCTGTAGAGGCACTGATCCTCCTGTGACAGCGTCAAAATCTTTCTTTGTTATGACTGTTAGAGATGCTCCAGTGTCAAGTTGGAAGCTGATGCTCTTACCGTTGATATTAACTAGTACATTGATGGGAGCATGACTTATTGATTTCACAGAGAACAGGTTGAAATCCGGCTGCGAATCAGTTTGAGCATTTTCACAGGTAGAGTGGTTCATTGGTTGGGTTAGGTAGTCTTGGTGAGAGTTAACATAGTGCTGCCTTTGGTTGCGGTACTGTCTTGACTGGCTAGATTTAGCAACAGACGAAGACTTTGCAAAGCAGGCCTTGGCAATGTGACCTTGCTTACCGCACTTATAACAAGTTGCTAACTTGAACTTGCACCGATGAGATGCATGGGGACCTTTGCATCGATGACATTTTTGATAATTATTACTAGATTTAGATCTAGGATTTGAACGAGCAGGCTGTTTAGCATAAGTTGGAATGCTCTGATGGGGTTGATGTTTATTGACTAACCTGCTGTTTACTGCATGGATCCCTGAAGGTGCTAAAGATCTCGCCGCATCAGATGACTGCTGGAATGAAATTGCAAGTTGTATTGCTTTTTCTAATGTTAGATCTGACTCGAGCAGCAACTTTCTTTGAATATCAGGGCTGTTTACACCTGTCACAAACTTTTCACATAGTCTGTCAGACAGCGTGTCTCCGAATTCACAAAATTCACTTAAATGACGTAAAGCAGCAACATATTCTGATATTGACTCGTTTGGTTGACGAGTCCTACTGTCAAATCTAGCTCGACATAGAAACTTTGATGGGGTAGGCGCATGGTGGTCTGTTAGCAATTTGCTCAGCTCGTTAAAGCTCTTGGTAGTTAGACTAGCTGGTGCGCATAAGTCTTTTAGTAGCCTAAATTGTTGAGGCCCTATGACTGTTAACAAAACAGCTCTCTTTTTGGCTTCTATCGTCACGTTGTTAGCTTCTAGGTAAAAGCTTAACCTATCTAGGTAATCCTGAATGATTTCATCATTCGAATCAAATTGTTTTATTTGGCCATACAGCGCCATTATTCTAGAAATACTTAGCCAATAAGCTCTAGCAAACCTCTTTTTTGCGTAAGTAGGTGCTCTTTCTAGTAGATTTTTATCCTCGTCGCCAAATATAATTGATTGACGATAGAAGCATGTGGTTGTATATAAACGTTTATTGGGTCTAACTACATGATGGTACCAGAAAGAGGAAGGAAGTACAATGCACAAGGGACATCACTCAAGATAACAATATAAATATAATACTAATACAGAAGAGTGAGTTCCCTTGACCTCACAATTATCTCAATCTATTACACTACCATTGTGGCGAACTAGGCGGTCGCCTAGGGCGCTATCCACGCATATGGGGGGGGGGGGAGCAAAAAAGTATGTAATCGCCATTATTAAAGAAAAAATCTAATAATTAATAACTCTGATTATATTATATAAACTATAGACATGGTTATATAATAAAATAGTTATTGATTTAATATAAATCTTTTAATTTCGAACATTTCAGATGGTTATCTTATTTTAATGTTGATAAGAGATCGCTCTTCCGACGCAGCGTTCTAGAACACGTGCATTTTTGGCCTGTAAGTCTCTTTTTCTCTCACTTTGAGTTAGATATCTCGTTTGCCAGGGAGAGATTTAAATAAATAATGTTTAAAAAAAAACTCAAAATTTTAAAATGAATAACGGAAACCCTAAGGATTAGCAAGGGAGCACAAATTAAATTTAAAAATAAAATAAAATAAAAACTGACCAGCTTGCCGCATTGAAAAATTAATTCTTGCCTTCAGTAAGTTTGGTCCTTAAATATGGAATCTTTATTTTATTTATTACAAGCGTACCCGTCCAAATAAAATCCTTGAATGTTCGTTAATCACTCACCGAAATAATGAGGTAGAACACACTTCGTGACCACCCATGTATCAGAAACGTAGAGAGGCACTCTCGGGAGCCCCCCAATAACACTACCGCAGAGGCACAGCGTAGGGCTGTTGGCTCTTTAAAAATAACAAAGTGCCAATGTACTAACAGGATAAACCAGAGCGCCACATAGCATCCAGAAACAATGATGCAGATTGCATCATTCGCTAAAGTTACACAAATCAAAAGGGTTTTTTAACATGTACATTTTTTTTTGTTGAAGTGTTATAAACATCAGTGTGACTGATGCAATTTGTTAGCGTTACTAATGGCACATTATTAGAAGCTCGATCTCAGTTTCTAATTGGATCGTCTAAAAATAGATGCTAATTGCATCATTCACAAAGTGACGAAACAGTACAGCAGATTTCCTCGCGTTACAAAGTAAAGTTATTTTACTTTTTTATTTTTCTTTAGATATTTTACGGACAATAGGAAACAACCCACTTTTAATAATCTATCCTTGGTTAATTTTCCTGATTATTAAAAAGAAAACGTATTACATGGCCCTCATCAGCCCGCGTGAGCATTTGGGGTCCGAAACTCAAATTTTTGTTTGCAACCAGATCGCACCCTACCAGCGCGCCGGCTGACACGTATGATTCAATTTAGTGAGCGACTGCAACGGCCCATCTTATCCATTATCTACCGCATTGTTTAGAACAAACGTAGGTGCCATTGCGCTCACGGAAAAAAGCCTAGGGCGCTAAATTGAACCCTGCATGAGTGCCGAGGGACGCGCCTGGTTCGATATAGTCAAAGATTATTGTTGCCCATCGTGTCTTAAAAGAAAATAGTCATTAAGGCTGATTAAGGTCATTGCATTCTGTGTATTAGTGTATAGTCTTTTTTAATAAACGTAGGCGCCATAGTGTTCGCAGGGGAGCCCGGGGCGCTTCGGGTAGTGCAATCTACGGGGCGCCGACGGTTGCGCCTCTTGAAATTTTTACGCTGAGTAGTATTACTCCTTACCCGCTATGATGGTTACTGAGGATGCTATTTGCTGCTTAATAAACTCAAAAGTCACTGTCCTACAGGGGCCTGGCCGGGAACGTGTGTGTGTGTGTGGGGGGGGGGGGGGTTACGGGAGGTGCGTGTTGTGAGGTTTGAGCAGTGGGGTGTGGGGGGGGGGGGGGGTTACGGGAGGTGCGTGTTGTGAGGTTTCAGCAGTGGGGTGGGGGGGGGGGGGTTACGGGAAGTGCGTGTTGTGAGGTTTTGAGCAGTGGGGTGTGGGGGGTTACGGGAGATGGTGCGACGTCACACTTTTGCATTATAAAAAACCAATGTTAGAAAACGAATTTTAGACGTTATTTCGAGTTTTAGACAACTGTTTTGATAAATTGTAATAGGAATTTATTAAAATACTCTATTTTGACAGAGTTCAGACAAGATTTTTAGAAAAATATCCATGTTTAAAAAAAATTCAACTGCAATTTTGAGGGGGGGGGGTGTAGGCTGAGGTGTGACGTCATTTTAGGGGAGGGTCTGCATTTTTGTGACGACGTGTGACGGAGGGGAGGGGGGAGGTAAAATCGTCAAAAAAAACGTGACTTCATTTATGGATGACCCCGAAGTGGTTAAGATTGCACTCGCCAGTTTCGACTCATGACGAACGAAATGCGACAGACAGACAAAAGCATTAGGCACGATGAAGCATGTTAAACAAAACCTTGTAAATACTAGATTTAGTGAACTAGACAAAATAAAAGCCTAGAGACTAGACCTAATCTGGCTAATCATTTTGCAACCTTTTGTGACTCACGCAAAAAAGAGTTAGATCTACAGGCTTGGGTGTTTCGACGGTGACCGGGTGAAGGCCATTCTCTCTGAAAGCCAAGGTCGTATTTTTGACAGTCGACCGGCCGGTGAACATTTGGCATTGAAGTGCTTGGATCATTTAAGGAAGTTCAAATTTATCTTTCTACTTGTAAGTATAATAATTTCTTAAATTCAAGCTTAACCTTAACTTTCATCAAATATTTAAGAACATTAATATAAATCCAAAATCTAGATTTAGATCTAGATCTAGATCTACTACTAGATCTACTAGAATCTACATCTCAGTACTAAGTAAAATAAAAGTGTAATAACTAGAATCTAGATCTAGATCTAGATTCTAGCCATAGGGCAGGCTAATACTCAATACTGGCTAATGCCTAATACTATACTAATACAATACGGCAATAATAATTGCGGCTAATAATACATAGTATTTTATTAATAGTAATAATATGAATTATTGAATAATGAAGTGGCTACTCTTCTGAAGAAGCTTCTTCCCCCCAGGTTAAACTGGTTGACAGAAGATGCAGAAGCAGAATGCAATGACCTTAATCAGCCTTAATGACTATTTTCTTTTAATTTTTCAGAATACATCAAGAAAACCAGTAAAGATGGTTATCAAATCAATTCATGCACGTCAAATTTTTGACAGCCGTGGAAACCCCACTGTTGAAGTTTGATTTAACAACAGATAAAGGTGATTTATTTAGTCTTGTTTTGAATTATCAATTTTTTAATGCAATATATGGCAACTCTAAATTATGTGCACAATATTTCTTTGAAAACAAATAGTTAAATTTGAATTTTATTGTGTCAAGCAAGAGTTCACCTTCACTTGTTTAGCTAGTGCTAGCTACTCAAGTTCTACTTAAGTTAGCTATTACAATTAAAAATGTCCACAAAGCTCAAGGATTGATTCAAGAACAGTTAAGGACCTGTATATGCACAAAACTTAAAATAAACTGAAGGCAGTTTAGGTGGTTAAATACTCTTTAATTAATGTAATTTTTTCTAACACAGAGAAATTGACTTGACTTAGTCCTGTTTGCTCTTTATGAAACATAGGGCCTCCACCATTTCCTTTCAGAGAAATTAAGTAAAGAAAACTTAATACTCGCAAATAGTGAAAATTCCTTCATTTGTACAGTAATCTTATGGTTTTCATTTTTGTAAACACAAAATGATGTCTAGAAAACTCAATATTTATCATTTCTAAAATATTTCTAATTTTCCTACTAAATGTTTTATTAAATGTAAAGTGCAGAGACAAAATGAAAACTAAATTTATCATCCTTCAAAAAACTTGTAATCTGAAAAAAGTTTTTTTTTTTCGATTTAGAAGGGGGGGGGGGAGGCTTTGTTTATGCTTTATTTGTATTTATGTGTGTGTTTATACTTGTGTTTATGTTTGTATTTATGAGGGTGTTTCTTATAGGTGTAGAAGCGCGAGGAGTTGATAGGGTTTATTTTTATGTTAATGTTCATGTGTGGTTGTGCTTGGTTAGGGTAAAGTTTAGGGTTATATAAATTTTCTCAAAATATTTGCCTATAGACCTTTAATTGGAAATTTTACATTTCCAAAACTCGGGCAGTGCCTGGTATTTGCTGCTTAATAAACTCACAAGTCACTACAGGGGCCTGGCCGGGACCTCTAGTTCATATATAAAAAGCAATGGTTGGTGTGGCATTTCCATTGGAATCAGGCTATAAAACTGTTGTTTTATCTGGAAAACACATACAGGCAAAAAGTTCTTAGAATATGCTGCAATTTTAATTGTTATAAAATTAGCAAATTCTGTTCTGAAGGTTTTTGATTTTAAAAAATGAAGAAATTAAAAATGCAAGAAAAGTTTGGAACATGTTGATTGAGTTTCTAAATTTAAAAACAATTATTTTTTCTTCTGTAGGTATGTTCAGGGCGGCTGTACCAAGTGGAGCTTCTACTGGAATTTATGAGGCTGTTG